CAATGTTCTGTGTTATGTACTGCACTGTACCTGTGGTTCAAATGGTGATATAACACCCATAGATCTCTTGACACTTGACATATAGTATTTCCCCTAAAGATATAAAACATGGTCTTCTTTCATATACAAATGTACTAGTAACATGTATGACCACGAACCTGTATCACACACGAACACATATGACATGCAAAAAAGTAGTCACTATATGTATTCAAGGGTTAATATTCTATTATTGAGTGGTCGGGCACAACCCGACCACTCTTTGGATTTGTTGCGATTAATCTTTCTTTCTTTTTTTTCTTTTTTCCGTACAGCACGTTTCCGCGGATTTTCTCCTAAACGGTATATGATATTAACTTGTAACTATTAGCATATATTGACCCTCATTCCGAGTAGTGCATATTACACTGACGTCATGATGACATCATCGGGTGTCAAATTACAAGTGATTTTCGTTGAAAAATAACGATCTTCTTTCATCTATAACTCTTCAACAAAACGATCAATTATGCTCCAACCTTGTAATCAGATAGACCATAAATTGATAAACATTTTTTGTCGTGTACGTAAACTCGCTTGACCTTTACTTCTGGTTCTATCCGGAAGGTCAAAGTTAGGTGAATTCAAAATGAGACATTAGCCTGAAATCGAAACAAAGCACAATTTCTTCCAAACGGTTTACGGTATGATCATAAAACCTTGTGTGAACTTGTACCATGTTACGAAGATGTTATAAATGCTGTTACGTCATCATGACGTCATCAGGTATCGAATTACAAGTAATTTGATTGCACGATTTGACAAAATAATTTGACCTATATTCCTTGAACTAAATGTATCGTGTTCGTTTTTTCGTGAGGTTGTAGACAGTGCCTAGAGCAACATTTCTTATTCCCGGGCACAAAACTGCTTGACCTTTACTTCCGGTGCTACCGGAAGTGCAATAGAAACTGAATCTTACTCTAAAACGGAAGCATTTTACTACAGACAAATATATTATGGAAGTGTTAAGTGAGGAATGCCAATCACAAAAACATAATTTTGACGTCATCCCACTAAAAGGCGCCCTCTAGCGGCACATCGAAAACCGTTTAATCTTTTAAAATGTTACAGCCCTCAATCAAATTTTTATGATATATTGCCCCTATATATCCCCTTATGCAACCACAAATGAATTTGCAAGGTTTCATAATCATGACGTCATCAGACCGGAAGTTACTGTAGGGAGAATTCAACAATGATCATTTTATTTTGAATTTAAATCCATCATTTGATCCCTGTCTCATGACTTTTTTTTTTGCCCCCCCCCCCCAAAATGACATCTGTTACACTTAATATTGACCTTTTGCTTCCAAATACTGTGACGTCATCAAACTGGAAGTTATCTGTTATTATTACATACACTAATTTTAACTTAATAATAAGCAAGTGTCCTCCCTTCCCTTTTTTGACTGATGATGTCATCAAACCGGAAATAACTTGTACGTGTACCTAACTGTTTACTGAAATTAATCATACCTTAAAAGATGCATTCTTTTTGTACAAAATGATTGGTACTGGAAATGTTGAAGTTCTTGGTCCTTCTGACATAAACATATCATAACTTTATTGGACAATCTCTAATAAAATGGTTGTCTACCCGACCACATTGCATTTGTAACAACAAACGCGAACCTCTAGTTATTATATTGAGTTTTATCAGAATCACATTTTATTTATGAACATTACAAATAAATGTGAAATGAAATAAAGATGTAATCTCTTCTTGTTAGCATGTGAAATGTGTTCGTGTATGATATAGGTTTGTGGTCTCCCTCTCTGCACTAATTTACCAGTACAAGCTAATGCCGCAAAAAGTGTAAATTCTGATTTATAGAGCTCTTATGTTTCTAGTCATGGCTTTAAAAGTTTTCAATCAATTCAGTTTATTTTTCCACAGGCAATAATAAACAACATCAACAGCTTGGGAAAAAAAACACCAAAATGATTTAGTCTGGCATGAATATTTGTTTAGATATGGCCACTGATTTGTCTGGGGCCGCTTTTTCTGGGACCCACTGTACACAGCTAAAAAAAAATAGTTTTATTGTATTTTACTTGTGCAAATGTGTACTTCAATATTTTTTCCCCTTGCTGCTGAAGAAAGAAATAAGGGTTTTTGTACCTTGTGCATATGAGATACCTTATATGTTAGTAATGCAAAACAAAATGTTGTTCTTGGCAAGACATTTTTAGTGAAGTCCAGTACATTGCATACATGTGCTGCAATTTCAACCATGTTACTTTATTTAGGGCTACCAACTCTCAAGCATTGAGCATCAGACTCACGCATTTCAGGTTCTTCTCACCCTCTCATGCGCACACTGGATTTCTCACGCAAAAGAAATAAATACAATTCAAAAATGATGTTTAAATGATGATCTGCTGCTAAAAAAGAATGGTTAAAGTGGTCAGAAATTACCTCAGATCACACCACAGAGCATCTAGAAAGCTGTTAGGGCTTTGCGATTTGCGCTCACATTAGCATGATTACTTCTGATCAAGCTCCATCGCCAAATTCTCACTCTCAGCTCTTACTCAAAGTTGGCAGCCCTGCTTTATTTATCAAACTATTTCTGTTTGGTATTTAATGTCACTTGTTTAATAACAAAACCTAGTGTCAAATATTAAAAGTACATTCATTGTTCAAGGCAGGGGTGAGATTTGTCAGGAATTTCCTGATTTCAGGATTTTCTTGTGAGGATTTTTTCCCAATTTGTGGATATTTTGTCAGGATTTTTCCCGATTTCAAAATGTTTTTTTATAGGAAGTTTTTGTGATTTCAGGATTTTTAAAGAATCCCTCCTTTGGAATTTGGGCGATTCACAATGCAAAGTGCCACCAAGAATTTGCAACGGAGAGTTAATTTTTCCCAGTGCATTGACATGATTGAGGGAGATGTAGTTTCAGTAGTTTCATAAGTGTATGATTCGAGTATCCGTTTGCCCATTTCTTCGCTTTTTATCAATATGGTGTTTTTTGTAAGGCGGCAGAACGTTATGCCGCAATCTATAATAAATTATCTCAAGTTGTCTACTGACATTCATTCAAATTGGCCATGTTTTGTGGACCGTAAACTTGAAAAATTGACTCTTCAAGGCAAACTCTTGGTGGCGCAATGCATTGTGAAACGCTCGAATTCCAGAGGTTTTTCTGTAAACCTGTTTTTGCCTATCAAGGTATTAAAAACAACATTGTGCAAACATATTCCATAGACCCTGTTGCCCTGGGCCCCCGGAGACCCTCAAACCCTCTGTGGATTGTTTTGTGGCTATTTCATTTTCTCCCAATCTCACCCCCGTCAAGGTTGTACACTAAATAAGTCAAAATGTTGAAAGATATGTGGAAAAATAATGCTAAATGTATATAAATGTTATTTTAAATGTTTTAGAATCATTTTAAAAATGTGAATTAGAAATAAGCTCTTATTCGTGTAAAAATCATAAATATTTGAATTACTCCAGAATGTTTGATTGTTCACAATTCTTGGGTCTTTTCTTCCATGTACAATGTGAACATCTTTTTAGTTTGACTGAAATTTGTGCTCTTGCTATCTTGAAAAATGTTGTGAATGCAATGGGAAGTATATGTCAGTTGTCTTTTTACACTCTACCATGGACCCTGGCAAGAACGGTGCAACCCTTGGTGGCATACTCCAAATTATTTGAAAATGTGATAGGAATAATATCCTTACTATAATTCCAGAAATCTGTGTGTGTCTGTCTGTACGCCGATTATCTCCTGAACCGGGCACCGTATGAAGTTGAAAATCGGCGGGTGTTTTGCTCGGGACACCAGAATGTGCAGTGTCAAGTTTGAAGTTGTTTGGACAAGCGGTTCTCGAAAAAGCTGCAAAAAAGTAATATTTTCTGAGGCAAACGTGCCAGTATATAGCCTAGACCATTACGCACTGATGTTCTTTTCAATTGTTTACCTCATGTTTAAGCTAAAGCGCGCAAACAATGCAAAAAGGACGGGCACGCGCACGTGCATTGTAGGGCAATACCATTGTCAAGTATGGGTGAATAGCACTGCATACCATGTTTCCGTGTGTACACGTCCGTGTGTGGTGGCTGCACGGGCACATGTATTATCTTTGCAGTCGACTGAGCGACCATTATTGTAGGCGGTCAACTGAGCAACCTTACTGCTGGGCGATACCATTGTCCAGTAGGGGTGAATATCTGCACTACTTTTTGCAGCTTTTTCGAGAACCACTCGCCATAGTGCAGTATGGATGAATAGCACTGCGTACGATGTTTTCGTATGTACACGTACGTGCAAGAGTGGCAGCACGGGCTCATGCATTATGCAGTCGACTTGAGCAACCGTCACTGTTGCAGTCGACTGAGCAACCCTTATCGTAGGGTGAGACCAGTGTCCAGTGGGGGTGAATATCTGTGCCAGGGGATGGCGACATGTACAAAGTGTGCGTTCAACATGCGAGTTCAAACAACACCATTGAATCGTGTGCGTTGTTTGCACGAGGAGTTCTAAATTGCTGCCCCGAACAGGCGCATTTTTGACGGGCACTGCACTAGAAATAATAAAAACCATTCTGATATGTACATGTATAGCGCATACCACTGTGAGGTCCTTTGAAATCAACAATTGTACAAATTTGAAGAGATGGTTTGACCCGGATATTGAATTGTTCTGATGTTTCGGCCCGTTTGACATCATCTGGCAACTGAACTGCGGCTGATTGGAAGGAGCCGGAACCACAGGACTTAGTTTTAATGACTTGAGGTGTCATTGACAGAGATGCGTGGATAAAACACAGATTTCTAGCTGTGTGTGAATGTAGGGTTACAGTAAACAAATATTGACTGCTTTAAGTGGTTTTGAGGCATTTATGGACTCAATCCGAGTACATATAGTCCATATACATGTATGGGCTAGCAGACAGACATATCATTGTTTCATTCCCCCAATAAGAAAAAAACAACTAGACTTTCACATTGCATACAGTCCACATACAATTTATTGTACATGTAATAATGACAAGTTGAATTACAAAAAAAAAAAATTGTTTAAAATAGTGTAAACAAAAAAACCTGAAAAATAAAAACAAAATGGAAGTTTCAAACCTCAATTGGAATGCAAAACAGCTTTTCAAATGAACATTTCCAGAGTTAGCACATCCCATATTTTAAAGGGATTGGGCCTATGGGAACAGCATACCTGCCACACCTTTTACAGTTTCCAGAAATTTAAGGAACATAAAATATTCAAAACCAGTATCTGATATTGGACCAAAATTACCGGTAACTTTGGTACAGAAAGAAAGATTTTTAGTGCTTTGACTAAAACATTGTTGCGTTGCTTCGATGCATGTCTAGAATTCACATGCCTGTGAGTTTACAGATAATTCTGGGCATCATTTTAAACCTTCGGTATGTCACAACATCCATTGAAAAAAAATGAACGATCATTTATAGACTGAGCATAAATATAAATGAAGATATGCAAGCATGACTGTCTACAATCGATTCCAACAAAAATTCTTGTTTAAACCTTTTACAATTTAATAGTGACAAAAGTAGAAACATTTTTTCATGCACGAACATTGTTATAAAAACATAAAAGATTAAAAGAAAACAACCTGTTGGTCAGCAATTCAGCCAGTGACCTTCCATGTCTTATCAAGATTAATGACTCCATCATAGCAAAAACTGATTGCTGTAAGTTTTGGGGCCTTTTTTTTGACTGTGGACTAACATGGAATAGTCATGTTGATTATGTCTGTAAAATCATTGCTAGAAATATTGGTGTGATTAACAGGATCAAACATTTTCTTCCTGGACCGGTTCTTAATTCACTTTACAAAACTCTGATTGTATCTTATCTAAACTATGGGATACTTGTATGGGGAGCTAGTTCTGTTACTAATCTGAACAGACTCCTCCTTTTGCAGAACAGGCTCTTCGAATTATAAATTTTACTGATTTCAATTCACATGCAGATCCCCTTTTCTTAAAGCATGAGACTTTAAAAGTTAAGGATATTTATCGTCATCAGCTTGGGTCCCTCATGTACCAGCTTGCTTGTAAAAATTTACCTTTTTCTATCTAAATTAGTTTTTCTCGCAATTCAGAAATTCATTCCCATTTTACCCGTCAAGCTTCCAATTTCCACATTCCTTACACCCGTACTTAGCTAGCTCATAAAGCCCGGTTCATACTTCACGCAAAAACAAGTGCGAAGCGAAATTCATGTCGTCAACAATGGTGGACGCGCTTCAAACGTATTGTTGACGTCACAAATTTCGCTTTGCTTTCGCGTGAAGTATGAACCGGGCTTAAAACTATTTAAAATGAGGGACCAATGCTTTGGAACAGGCTTAATGACCAGCTCAAAGTATCCAAAAATATTTCTGCTTTAAAACGTATTTTTAAATCTGTTTTACTGGAATCTTATTGTTGATTGTTCTACATTCTAACGCACTGATCTGATAAGACCTCTTTGTAGCTGTTGCTTTGTAGTCTTCGTCCATTGTTTGTGTTGGTCCACATTCTTGTATAAATGTTAGTGGTAAATTGTCTTTCTTCCTTTTTTCCTTGCAAACACGCGTGTGCATTGAGACCTACTATTACATTTTTTTCATTGGTTCATTGGCCACGGATGGTTGGATTAACATTCTTTTATTCCTGTCTCAATGCACGTGCATGTAAATTAGGGACCATTGAATACAAGCTGTGCTTTCTACATGAGTCCCACTGCAGTATCACAATTACCTTGTATACATACATATATTTCTGTGCATTAATTCTGCATAAAATTTACTTAGTAAAATGTATACAATTGTATTTGATTTTCTTTAAATGATTTGTAATTTGTCGGTTTTTTGGATACTGTGGAAAATAAACAAACAAACAAACAAACCTGGAACTTAAGTACATTTTTAGCCATTTGATCGATGAAAAATACAATCTGCATAGATTTGCACAGAGTCAACGCAGTTTACATTGTACAACAACATACATGTACACATGCCAGATCCTATTTTATAGTTTTGTTCAGTGCATAAATACGTGTTTGTTTGTTTTTTTTAATTTAGATTGATAATTATAAGACTCATTGTGCAAGCCTGGAAGCTGTATAAGGTTTTTTTACATTATTATGTTACTTTTCATATCACTTCTTAGAAATATCACTTCGTCTAATTTTGATTTTGGATTTGTTGGTAACAGGGGCGATGTCATAATTTTCTTAATTGATCATATCACACTAGTATTAAACTTTCTTTCATGTATACATTTTATAGTATACAAATATTAACTGGTGGTGACTTCAAGTGGTGTAGTACAATTAGCCTTGATTCTGAGTTGATCCATGGAGTATTAGAGAATGCTCCGTGGATCACCGAGGGAGGCTTGTTTTGCTACACCACAAGATATAGCACTCACTATTTGTTTTATAACACCTCTCCCACATATTCTGCTTGATTTGAAGCGATAACTGATTAATTAAATCTAAATACAATTCAAATGTACTTCAATTTGAATACAAAATTAGTTTCCTTGCACTTTCCAAATTGCCACTTCACGAAATGTCTGAAACCCATGCGCAATGCGCACACCCGTATATGCATTTGCACACAATACCCGTTCTTATGCGTATAGTTCTTTGGTTGTTACGGGTGTAGTACTTTTGGCCGTTCACAGCAAGATAGCAAAAATAGCGAAATGCCATGTGTGACTCGCTCTCGGTCAATCAAGATACATAATCTTTGGCTGAGGTGTTATAAAACAAAATATGTCTGCACGATGAATTGTATGCTTAATTGGCATGATTAAGTGGATATGCTGTACATCCTTTGTGAGTGCTCGTCTACATGTGCCGTCTTCATCCAGCCTGACTATGATGTATTGAGGGGTGTTGTTCTCAATCTGGGGTCAACATATGCAGCTCTGGATGTTGTCTGGAATGAATTATATTCTTGCTTGGTTCTTGGAGGGTCTAACTCTGGTTGTGATGCTGGAAATGCTCTGGCTTCACGAGCTGATGTCAGTACAAATAACAAATAATATTTGTCGAAACAAACTGACAAATGCATTGTATAAAGCCCAACAGGGCACATTGTCAATTTTAAAGTCCATCTATTGGTTAAAATTTATAATGGGATGCACAAACCTGCCAAATGAACGAGTGAACGAGGAACCGATTTTCTTTCCATTTTGTAGGAATCAGCATGGGTTGTTTCAAAGTAGTGCTCAAACTACAACAAATAAAAAAAAACACATCAAACTTTAGATTTTAGCATGCACATGTACATATATATATATATGCACTATACATAATCATTCAATGTGTAACAATATTGCAATTGATATCATATCACCCAAGATATAATATGCAAATTTCAAAACAATACAAATGTTATTGCAGACAATGCCAAGCTTCATGTTTTAACCATTATACTGCATGAAACATTTGAACCCATTCTCTGGGCTTTTAATTATTCAGAATTTCTTACAAAAGCCCATGTTAGATTTTGTTAAGAAGTTGATGTAATATAATTAGGTTTTCCTTCCTTCTTTTCTTGTTTAAATTTTCTTGACGTTGTTTACTTTGCTAAGCATTGCTTAGCAAAGTAAACAACGTCAAGCAAGAATTAAAAAATGATGCAGGGTTGATCAGTGCATGCAGTCTTATGAATGTGTGCATAGTTGAAAACTGCCATGACTGCAAGGCACATCAACATGGTACTTTCATGCTTTTAAAACATATAATAATTATACTTTATTAAAAAAAAACACTCAATCCTAATTCAAAATCAGTCTGAGGTCCCCTCAGGGAAGGAGTTCCATACCTGGACATCACTTGACATCCTGTGCACAAACCCTATCAGACTGGTCTGAACAATTCCAAGTGTTTTCTCAGTAAATGCTTCAATGTTTTCCTTGCTAAATTTGACTTGTTATTTAAGACATGTTATCGCTTTCTGATGGCTGATAGGTCACTGCAGGGAAAAACGAGTGATGTGCATCTATGGAATTCTTCCCCCATGGAGTTCTGAATCCTGATAAAACTCATTCCCAAATCAACACTTTGTTTTCAGGTCAACTTGATTCCAAGTTGAAACTCATTCCCAAATCAACTTGTTTTGGGGTCAGCTTGGTCCTAAGCACAACTTATTCCCAGATCAACTTGGTTTCACCTCAATTCCAAATCATCTGTTTCAACTTGGTCCCCATAAGTCCGTCTCAAATCAACATGGTTTTCCGAATCAACTTGGTTTCATCAGGTGAACTTGGTCTTAGCCATCTGTTTCAAGTTGTCCCATCCCCAAAGGTATATAAACCCAAAGGTATATAAACCCAAAGGTATATAAACCCCTTTTCACATAGAAGTCTTACTCCAATAAAGTGCCTAGTAATGCACCTATCAAAGGGGGCATAACATTTGTGGTTTCAAATTGAAATAAATTGTACGTGGACATGTACATACTTTCCTGTACAATTTTGACAGTGCTCTTTTTAGATTACCACACAGTTTCCTTTCAAAATCATAGCCCTGAAACTTCCTTGAATCTCTTGGCTTGCTATTGACGATTGCAGGTCAACTCGCCCCCTGGCCGACTCGCCTGTTACCGACTCGCCCCTTGCCGACTCACCCCCTGACCGACTCGCCCCCTGACCGACTCGACCCCTGACCGACTCGACCCTTACAAGCTCGCCCCCTGGCTGACTTGCCCCCTAGCTGACTCGCCCCCTCGCCAACTCCCCTCCTAGCCGACTCGCCCCCTGACCGACTCGCCCCCTGACCGACTCGCCCCCTGACCGACTCGCCCCCTGACCGACTCGCCCCCTGGAAAATGGTGCACCGTACGGGGACATCGTAAAAAAAAAAAAAAAAAGACAGTGGAGGGAAACACAGAGGGTCCAGCAAATCAGCTTCGTTATCTGAGTTTATTGCCCAATTCAAAATTTGGTTCTGAAAGTTCCATTTCTGAGCCTCTTTTATTGCCCAATTCAAAATTTGGTTCTGAAAGTTCCATTTCTGAGCCTCTTTTATAACTTTTTCAAAACCGTTCGGTATGTTTGAATGCTTCTAGTACTACGCGCACATGCCCAATGGGCCCTATGCCACGGGCACTCCGCGAAAATCACGCTGCGCTATATCGGTAAAGTTGTGCTAATAAGGTGTTTCCAACCCAAATTCTTTATAAAAGGATCAATAGTTTTTTGCATTGGTATCGGAAATCCTTCAAACTTGCGTTTGAGTAATTTGGCTCCATTAAGTTTCACGTTGCGACCGGGCAATTTGCTCCACTGTCTTTATTTTTATTTCACGATGTCCCCGTACGGTGCATAATTTTCAAGGGGGCGAGTCAGTCAGGGGGCGAGTCGGTCAGGGGGCGAGTCGGCTTGGAGGGGAGTTGGCAAGGGGGGGAGTCGGCCAGGGGGCGAGCTTGTAAGGGGCGAGTCGGTCAGGGGGCGAGTCGGTCAGGGGGCGACTCGGTAAGGGGCGACTCGGTAAGGGGCGAGTCGGTAAGGGGCGAGTCGGCCAGGGGGCGAGTTGACCTGACACCCTATTGACATAGACCTAACTGGAGCTGAGAAATAGAAGTGGATATTTGTTTGCTTAACAGTCACGGTCTGCAGAACTCACGGTCTGCAGAACTCACATTGCCTTAGAGTTAGACCCATACAACTCTGTCAATTATCCTAGATCCTCCTATTTCTACGCAGATAAGGCTTTGCAACCAAGTAGCTTGAAAATAGCAAAGCAACCACTCTTTTCCTCAACAAAACTCATCCACCATACTGATTAACCAAGCGAAATCTCTTTATTTGTTGCAGCAAGCGGGATTTCCAAAGCGTGCAGATTTGGCGTTGTAGAAAACTATCAAGATGTCAGATTTTAATAGTTCTGACCAAAAAAAAATCCCAAATAATGTAAGAAACGTGTCTTTTTGGTTGCACCATTTATAGTTTTACACCCCTGTAGAAACTGCAAAGTATTAATGTAGCCTACACAGTGGGAGACCAAGAAAGGTCACCTAGTTAGGGTCATATCTTGATAACTTCTGCAGGCCCAGAAGCATCTGCATGCATTTGTAGTTAGTAGAATTAGCAAAAAATAGGCAAGTTGAACTTGAAGTGTAGATAGAAAATTACACCGCAACAAAATTCTTAATTATTAAGCAGAATCAGATCAGCTGTCTGCATGGGCCAAATAGCATAAGAAAAATTAAATGCGGACAATAATGCTCCAAACAAACCTGTGACGGTAATCTCTTTGGTACCCTGATCCTTTCAATGTCAAACCTCTCTTCATTCCAATTACCAACAAGAGTTTGTGGCGAATAGCAATCTTCTTTGGTGGTTGTCCTCCATCCATACTGCTTGAATTTCAACTCATCCGATGTATGTTGCCAGACTTCTCCTAAACCCGAGGCTCGAACCATTGAGCGAAAGGCAACTTCATCTTCTGTAGCCATGTCTGATTTCGTTTGGAAACAGAAAATTACACCACAACAAAATTCCTCTTCTATTTCTAATTCAACTGGTAAATGTACACGTCGCGTGCACGTACGTACATGTAGTACTAGCGCTGTTATTGTGCGCGTGCATAAATGGATGACAGCGTCAGCCTTTACTTCTGTTGCTAGTAGCAACATAGTCTGGCTCTTTGACCTAATGAGCACATGACTGCAGCATGAGTTGTCTGGGAACCAGACTACTGTCAAAAACTATAGACTTGAATCAAGTCGTCTTACTTTGCACGCGTTTAGTCTCTTATTCGAGTCGCCATGTTTTCCATTAGACCATCATCCCAACCCCAAATATTTGAAATCCTTTTCAGTTGTATGTAGAATTTATTTATGTACTATATAAAGACAAAAGTATGTAAGTCACGGTCTGACTATACGACCTTGTAACTTGACCTTTTTTTCCCTGCAAACAGGTTTAGTCAATGCGCATGCATGTTCGTGCATCTTTCCTTTACAAAAAAACTACTCCTGCAGAGAGCCATGAATCACAAAAAGGTGAATTTTATTTCAGTACTTTATGATTTGATTAAACACAAGAAAATTAATTGTCCCCCCCCCCGAAGAGCTTGTCAAATTTTTTTTTGTAATTTTTGTTTTTAGTCCCACGATTTGACCTTGGTGATATGTATACATGAATAAAAAATGTTAACTTCTAAAAAAGTTTGAAAAAAATTGAGCCCCCCCCCCCCCCCACAAGCCAAATCCTGGCTGCACCACTGGTGTAGTGGGCATGCTGCGACTGCAATATACAGTGTACGTACATGAGCCATGGAGGTAGCAATGAACTTGAAGTGACACATCAGCGCCGACTGTTCGGACGCATGATTATAATTGTGCAGGAATCGATCAGGGTTCATACGCATTGGAGTCACGAGGAAATATCAGACTTGAACCAAGACTACATATATCATGTCATGACCCACATCCGATCCACGCACTACACTGTACTACTACTACTAGTACTAGCAGTAGCACGGAGTAGCACTCTGCACGATACACCCTCTGCATGCACACAGAACGCACGCGATCGCTGGACGAGTTACTTCATCAGTTCATGTGACAATGTACTACAGCCACAGGTAAGTTCCACTTTTGAAAAGAATGTTGCATCCTGATCCTGACGTTCCTTTTTTGGTAATCCTAACTTTTAGGACACCTCTATTTTTTTAGGAGTTCTGTTCAAAACTGACTTTTGCAGGCTAGGGTCCTAAAGCAGTCTTTTTTCTACATATTATATAAAGGCAGTGGATATTTTGCCGGAGACGGCAAACCTTCAGTAGCCTAAACGTTAGTTTGCCGGATATGTACTGAACATGTGCAGTTACTGTTTTTTTTTACTTAAACATTTTCCGGTGACAAATTTTAGTCTGGCTCCATGCCAATATTATCGTTGTATTTACAAGATGGGAATCAGACCATTTTATAATTTCGGACTTTATTTCCCTTCAAAAAAATTAACGAAATTTTGCCCCCCCCCCCCCAAAAAAGTGGGTCAAAAAATTACGGCTTGGGCTTTGGGGCCCGCTCAAGGGCCCCAAAAAATGTTTGGATTCGAGATGCTCTGTGGTGCGATTTGAGGCAATATCTGACCATTTTAACTGATGTTTTTTGAGGAAAAGATGGTGGTGTACTCATTGCCTGCCTTTATTACGACGTCACATAAAAAAAATGGTTTCGGTTTTTTTTTTGGGGGGGGGGCATGACCCCTTTTGGCCCCCTGGATCCGCCCTTATCATCACGAATTGCTCGTTACGAAGAACAACATTTCTTTAATTGCAATCAACATGCTCGCATAGGCCTACACCGTTTTATGACTGCACTGTATCTATTAAAGTATAAGTTCAGGTCTTCAATATGGTTTAACTAAAACAAAATAATGATTTACTTCTATATTGACAATTCTCCCAAGTATAACAAAAGGGGATCCAAGAAACTGATTTGGGAAATTTTTATTTGCTGGCCCAACATGGTCAGAAATATCAGCATTATCTAAAACAGATACATGCAAATCTTTAGCACTTATCAGGGAGACATATACAACCAATCAGATCTATTCCATAGTTATATGCAATTAAAGTGATCATCTCATTAGCCCCACAAGTGTACGGAATATTTTTGCAGCAAATCTATTACCATGGTAACAAAATGTGATGCTACAAAAGTGGAAGTGTGCCCAACACACAAATCTATAGGGTGCTTCCCTCCTCCATGGTAATACGATTAAAATGGTAACAGCAAAATTTCGAACAGATTTATCTGGAAAATGCAAAAATCTATGGGCCTTGAAGAGCCTTGACTCAAAATTGCAAGGCCCTGAACCCTCAAGGCCAAGGCCAAGGCTTTTGCCCTCAAGCCTCGAGGCCAAGGCCAAGGCCCTAAAATCCAGCCTTAAGGCAGCCTTAAGGCCAAGGCCCAGCATCAAGGCACTACATCACTGACAGCGCCCTCTGTTGATATGGAATTGCCACGGGCAAACCTTTAGTAAACGTTAGTTTGCCGGCGTTACCTCTGGCAAAATATCCACTACCTATTATAAACTCATGTTAGTTGTAATTTTGAAAGCACTTTCAAAGAAAATGTTACTTTCCTACCTTTGTTCGCAGTCGGACGTGCATGTAGTTCTCACAACACGAGTGAAAGCCCTACATAATGAAAGCCCGATGCTGATTGGCTGCTAAAAAAAATAAATAAGATGTTTCTTTTTGATAGTGGATATTTTGCCGGAGGTAATGACGGCAAACTAACGTTTACTAAAGGTTTGCCGGCGGCAATCCATATCAACAGAGGGCGCTGTACTCTTTAAGATAGGGCTAAATTAATAAGATACATAATTCCCACCAAAAGTTGTGTAGCACGTTTGGTGTAGTGGTTAAGCAAAAGCTCTAGTGAGCGGGATAACTCGGGTTCGATCCCGATCCCCGCCACATTTTAAAGTTTTTTTTTCCCATCCCCAAATAAATAAGAATATTCTTCTTTTATTATTTTAACATGTCTCAAACATTTTATTGCAGAGTATTACATTTTCTTTTTCAGATTTGTGGCTCTGGAGGATTTTTTTTAAAAGGGAAATTAAGTCCGAAATTATAAAATGTTCTTAATCCCATCTTGTGAATACAAGGTTACAACAATAATATTTGCATGGAGCCAGACTAAAATTTGTCACCGGAAAATGTTTAAGTACAAAAAAACAGTAACTGCGCATGTTCAGTGCATATCCGGCAAACTAACATTTACTAAAGGTTTGCCGTCTCCGGCAAAATATCCACTGCCTTTATTTTTTATCAGCCAATCAGCATCGAGCTTTAATCGCATCGAGCTTTCACGTTTGCCATCTTGCTTTTTGAGTCTGTTTTCTGGTTGTCATCGTCATCTTTTACTTCTGAATTTCCCTCATAAATCAAAGCCCTGCCCTCTGCTGATATTCAAGAAGGTGTCATTGCCAATTGTTCAGATGTGTCAAGAAGTATCAGAATGTCAATTTTGAGTGTCATTTAGTCAACTGTTTTTGGTGAGTCTTTCCCTTCCTATATAGGAACGGGGTCCTAAAAGTAAGGATTACCCCTTTTTAATCATTGTAGCTATAGCGTGGCTAAAATATCTCAGTTAAAGGTCATTTGTTGCAAACATGTCGAAAAGACATGAATCTGGGAGTGAGATGAGAAACATTTCTCGTCAGTCCACCTGTTGTGCGCTTTCTTGAAAATCACGTAATCTTAAGAATGCGCGCGCATTCTTAAGAATGAGCGCGCATTCTTAAGAATGAGTGCTCATTGTTAAGATTGCGTGGGAATATCACGTGCACAATTTATGAATTTTGCGCAATCTTAACAAACGTTGCACGACATAATTTATATGTTAGAAATAAATGAAATGTATAGCGGTTAAAAGGGAAACAATTCATATAAAGAGGAAAGAAAATGTTCTATGCTTCTGTACTCGTATAACTACGATAATTTGAATCAAATTAAACCTGTTATTATTGCTTTTTTCTGTAATAAGTTTTGTAATAACGGAGGACTGGGAACTAGTCTGGGAAGTGCTTTGTTTAGGCTAGACAAGTTACAAGTCCCTGTATGTATCATATGCATGCCACAAAAAAAAAAAAAACGATGTCCAGAAGCTGCCAAAATTGCTCTTTTGACTAGATAGAATCCAGCTCTGTGGCGTAATGGTGGGGGTGTGAACAATAAATTGGTGGCAATTTAAATGGGAAATAGCATTAGCACTATGGGATGTCACAGTATTCATTCTCATTCTTCACATTCTTCATTCTTACGTCCCCCCCCCCCCCCCCCCCCCCGCCTTTATTATCCCAAAAATCAGAATTCTTTCCAATACACTATTATTAAGTCTCTTATTTTTTTCCCGGTCTTCCCCCCCCCCCCCCCCCCAATGTGCGTACATTTTTCATATCCACTCTACTTTTCAGCGCCTTGCGTTGCAACAGTATAATGATTAAGAATCAGTGAACGAGGATGCAGCTAGACTTGCCAAGCGCAGCAGGTGCTCGGTATCGACAAGACCGTTATCTTGTCGCGCATTCTTAAGAATGTGCGCTCAATCTGGAAGAGTTATTTTTTGCGAAGATTGCGCAAGAATCCAATTGCACAATCATAAGAATGTGCATGCGCATTCTTAAGAATGCGTGATTTTCAAGAAAGCGCACAACACACCTTAAAACGACCAGGATATGTTTTGACGCACTCGCATTTAATTTGCGTTGGACAACGCGCGCGCGTTGCAAACATTATCTGCGTCAATTAAGGTGACTTGAGTTTGTTAGAAAATACTTTGAAAATGCAGTCGACTCTTGTAACAGCACTGCAGTTACACAAATAGGCACAACTATAGAAAACAGGGCCACTCCACTCTACATCCGCGCCTCTGTATGGCTGCGTGGAGCTAGCTGTGGAGCTGTAGTCGACCTACCTCCGAGAATAGCGATTCTGCAACTCGCAATTTGATGTCACGGTGACTATAATCATGTGTGTAAACCTTGCTCAGTGCAGTGACGACTGGTTCCCGCCGCGCTGCCCAGGGGCAGTAACCAGTCTGTCATGGCTATGCAATCGCTAGCGCTAACATGGCTATGCATTAGGCACGTGCACTGTCTGTGTCAACTGGTCGGATTCGACATCGTAAAAATGCCAAGAAAACACCTCGTTTGGAGTGATACATGCAGCGTGTTTCCCGAAATTTTCGACCGTAAAACGAGGTCTGTCGGCCGTGGGCCACACATGCACAGTGCATCACACACTTCGGAGTTTTGGCCAGCTTCTTGTCTTGACTAGCGAACGGCCTGAATTTTCCATTATTTTTTAAGAATTATCGAAAGTAAATATATTGACAATAATTAAGGTAGGTTTTATCCACTTTTTGTGGCCATTTTGTGTATAGCTTTCGTAGTGCAATGGAAATAGTTCAGGCTAAAACTTCACATATAATTGAATACCCCATTCAATCTGCATATAAAAAATTGGCCAAAAAAAAAAAATTCTGATTGACCAACCCTATTTTTGAAAGGCATGTAATCGAAAGCAGAACTAGTTTTTTTTCGGCCTTGTTATCGTTCAGGATCAAAAGGTCAAGTTTCTTATGGTTAGAAGTAGATTCATGCCTTAACATTCTCCTTAAAGGGTTAACGGGTTACAACATCTGTGTTGTCATTTTTTGAAGGTTAATTACAAATTACCACCTAAAAACATGTCTTTTGTTACTTTAAAGTTGCTCGTGGGACCCACGTTGATGCGAAACAAACATACATCATGAATCCTGAATATGAGGAGGATTTGATTGAGGCAGAAATCCAACAGCAGTTGAAGTTGCTTACACTTTCAGACGATGGAATAACTGTGAACGATGATTATGAGCTCAAAGACAAGCTGGATGAGGTAAAGAGTGACTTCTCTAAAAACATGGTCAAATTAAAATTTTCCCAAATCTTAAAAAAAATCAATTCTTTTCTTATTTTCTTCTAGTTTTAAACTTGTTTGTTCAATACTTTCACCCTCTGCCTGGACAAAATCCCTCATGTGCTTGTACGTGTACCATGTGCATCCCTTAGTGTGTTTATGTAGCCCGGGATACAGTCTTCACACTTACTTCTGAGTATCCATTGCAGGATTGACCTCATTCCACATGTTCAAGACATGGCAATCTATTACTTTAGGATGATGAATGTCTCATAGAACACATTGGGTGTTGTCTTTAGGCCAACCCAAGACTTAGTCTAGATTGAAAAAGAAAATCAATTTGTAACTTGGTTATTCTTTTGGTTTGGTTTGGTTTGTTTGTGTATTTGATTTTGCAAACTGTAGGCCTATTATAAACATGAGATGTTAATGAATAATTTGTCTGGTTGTTTCAGGTTGAAATGGTTGGCATGGAATATGCCGAGTTGGATGATGAAGATGACAATATGCCAGACAGTATTCAGCAATACCTTAATATGGTCAATAAACGATCAGAAGGCTTGCAGAAAGACCTGGAGGAATGCGACAACCTCTTACTGGATACCAGTACATTGCAAGGTCATTTGAATATATCGTGTTATTATGAATAGGTGGTCTTTAGTGGGTTCATATAGCCAGTGACATGTGCACCCAATGATCTTCCATGTACCTGGGTTGAAGGTTTATCCAGTGACATGTGCACCCAATGATTTACCTGGGTTGAAGGAGGTCATTCAGTTTATCCAATGACACGTGCACCAAATGATCTTCCATGTACCTGGGTGGAAGGAGGTCATTCAGTTTATCCAATGACATGTGCACCCAATGATCTTCCATGTACCTGGGTTGAAGGTTTATCCAGTGACATGTGCACCCAATGATTTACCTGGGTTGAAGGAGGTCATTCAGTTTATCCAATGACATGTGCACCAAATGATCTTCTATGTACCTGGGTTGAAGGAGGTCATTCAGTTTATCCAGTGACATGTGCACCCAATGATCTTCCATGTACCTGGGTTGAAGGTTTATCCAGTGACATGTGCACCCAATGATTTACCTGGGTTGAAGGAGGTCATTCAGTTTATCCAGTGACATGTGCACCCAATGATCTTCCATGTACCTGGGTTGCAGGAGGTCATTCAGTTTATCCAGTGACGTGCACCCAATGATCTTCCATGTACCTGGGTTGAAGGAGGTCATTCAGTTTATCCAGTGACATGTGCACCCAATGATCTTCCATGTACCTGGGTTGAAGGAGGTCATTCAGTTTATCCAGTGACATGTGCACCCAATGATCTTCCATGTACCTGGGTTGCAGGAGGTCATTCAGTTTATCCAGTGACGTGCACCCAATGATCTTCCATGTACCTGGGTTGAAGGAGGTCATTCAGTTTGTCCAGTGACATGTGCACCCAATGATCTTCCATGTACCTGGGTTGCAGGAGGTCATTCAGTTTATCCAGTGACGTGCACCCAATGATCTTCCATGTACCTGGGTTGCAGGAGGTCATTCAGTTTGTCATGCATGTCTGTGACTAATGTTAAAGGAAATGTACAACATTTGCTTTTGCTGCAATTTTCAGAAATAAATGGATTTGGAGGATTAGGCCAAAAAAGTCTCCAGTTTCTGGTATGGAGCTTGCCCATAAAGTGGTGCGGCGACGCGGCTTTTTTTTTTTTTAACCTGTTTTTTGGCTTCAAATGTCGGCTGATGACTGCAAATGGTGCCCGACTAAACTTAGTGCAAATATATGGGAGTCCAGAGAGGCCACATAAATCTTATACTCGATCATAACCCCATCTAAAAGCACGTTTAAATTGTGCGGCAGCAGGATTCCAGTCAAACCAGAGAGTTTGGCGGTTTCGAGACATCATCTTGTATTGAAAAAAACTTTTTCATTTTGACGACGTGCATGGCTATGGCGACGCGTGCGCATACCAGAAACCGGAGACTTATTTTTTTTGGCCTTAGTATGTTATAGAAAATATTGTTACACTGACTTGTTCCACGTTTTGGGTTCATAGATGCTGGAAAAACCAAGAAAACCAATCATATTATTGTATCGTTTCGGTTTGTGGTAACACCATGTGGTAATAACTACTGCTTAGAAGATATTAGTTCTGAGAAGAACTTGTCCTGTTTATTATCAACTTTGCTAAGTAGTTTTTTGTTCTGTTTAGAACAGTCCTGCTGTAAGTTCTAAAAGAACTTGTCTTTGGTCTCTTTTAGAACTTACAGCAGGACTGTTCTAAACAGAACAAAAAACTACTTAGCAAAGTTGATAATAAACAGGACAAGTTCTTCTCAGAACTAATATCTTCTAAGCAGTAGTTATTACCACATGGTGTTACCGCAAACCGAAACGATACCGATACCCCACCATGCAAAGCCTCAAATCATATTATTGTAGTCTGGTTCCCTGGCCCCACTTAAGATAAAACGGACAAATGTATAGACTTTGGGGAATTGTAAGATCAGAGAATCAGTCTAGCAGGGTTTTAGTCTTCACATGTGTGTAACCAATTGCAAAGAAAATGCAGACGAACTAAATATAGCAAAGTAGGAGCACTTTTTGAAAAAGGCCAGTTTTCTCCAACGCTGGTCAGCCGACCAGCGTTGGAAAAATACAGTTTTTCTTGAAAACGTCAGCACACCAGGAGCCACAACTTTACAGGATGCTTTAGACTGTAATTCCCTAACAATCCAGTAAGATATTTCGCTTTATAATTTGATCATTTCGTTGTTTGATGTCTGCAAATTTTGTATCTTCCCTTTAACTCTATATTGCGATTATGGATTTGTATAAAATGTGTTGTAAAAAAATTAAGTAGAATGAAAGCTAGGTCCTCACTCATTGCACGATGTTGCCTTGTGTATTTCTTTGTAATGATGATGAGTGACCATCTTTAACATTTTGTTGACTGCTCTTGTTGTCATAATAGGAGGCAGTGATGAATTATACTACCAGTCTACTGAGATGAAAGAATTAGCGTTTATGCTGGGAGAAGATCCAGAAGAGTTGCGAGACAGGGTAATAAAGTGTATGGATAATAAGTTTCCGTACTCCAAAAATATGCTTACCCTTTTGAACTTCTGATATTATGCTTGATGATTTCTCAACCTCTTTGGCTGAGGAAATTATGTCGGCATATATTACCGATGCAAACAAGCAGTAGTCAGGGTTGTCAGGATAGCCTGTCGCAGTCACTAGTTTGAATGGACGTGGAACGTGACCCCAAATAAGCTGTAGGAACTGAGTCAACTTCTATGGAGGTGATGGGACGGCTGCTGTGACGTGTACTTTTGACAGTTCAGTGCCTCTAAGTAGCTGATTTATGTGTACTGAAATCTGGTTTCAGCACACAAATGCACACAGATGTACTTCCTGTTGGCAGTTGGCAAGATAGGAATAACTAATTCAAGACTCGGCTAAATATGTAAATGTCAGAAAACATTTGTCCTATTGTGCAACTGCAACTTTATTCTTATTGCTCACTTGACTATGCAAACCTTCAAATCTGATCTGACATCGCTCTACAGGGAGCTTACCTTATCTAAGGTTAGGTTGAGTGAGCACCACTCCATCAAGTGCTTGAAATACATCAACAACCTAGCTATCTATTCAGTCTCCCGACGACGGGCAGAGCATACTGTCCAAAACATTGCGTTTCCTGTGGTTCTTTTCATAACCCCACAAACTCACAAAAGAGATACATGTACTTGACACATGGTGCAACTGTAAACGTACTCTTTTAAAGGCCCTTGTCGTTCAGCATGCACCGAGGGCGCGCGCGCATTCAGCAGGATAGATAATACAACAATTTTTCTCGCGGACACATGATTGTTTCTTTAACCTTTTTTTGCACTTCTTTAAATTCAGGGTCATGTTTCAAATTGTAAATTATATGATTATTGATGGAATATACATGTATACATTTTGTGACGATGCTTTTTTGGCGTAAAGAAAATGATGAGTGGATTCTTACTAATGTGCCACTGTTTGTAATAGATAAATCGTGTTGATTTATTGCATACAAATTTCCTATTTGTACTTGCCACCCATGGTAATGGCACACCTCTGGCTTTTCTATCAACCTCCCTCAACCTTCTATCAATCAAGTCAAAAAAAGAAAGATATTTTGTAGATCCTGTGTGTTTATTAACTATATTTTTTGTATCGTGTACATTTGCAGGTTCTGACTGAGGTGGAGAAAGAAGAACGTAAAGAGTCGGAACATGTGAGGGATCACATGACAGATCATGTGACAAACCCTGAGACAGACCTGACAGGAGAAGTAAAAGCAAATACTGGTAGATCACCAGAACAACATCAAACAGTACATACAACAGGTAAGAGCATTTAGTAGGTAAAGGCTCATCAGTATCAGAGTTGAGGACGAGCAGTAGTTTTTTCCAGTGATCAATGGGATTAAGAGCTTTGAGATATATCAAGATAATCTCTCATGCATAAAATTGATTATTTGATCATTGTCTTGAGAGGGTGAGTTAATGGGTCGTATGTATAATAACTGGTATTTGCTTGTACAACCTATTTTTAAGCATTTACTTGCATTTGTATGAATAAAATTGAAGCATTTGCTAAAACTGAAAAGTGTTACTTTTTACTTTGTAGCTTTTGCTTAGCATCTGCTTCATTTGGTATGAATGAAAAGGGGTAAATGCTTCAGATTTGGAATATTTAGTTGTCATTTTAAAAGGCTGGGTCGGGGCAACCTTGAAAAGGGAGAAGCTAATAGTAGTATGTAAAATGGCAGCGTTATGAATGTGGTTCGGCAGGAGAAAAAGGTATATATATATATAAATATATATGCATCGCACCGCGGAGGGAGTGTGTGAAATCAAAATACAAGCAGCTGTACTGGTTTAGCAAATAAATGTGGCATGGATGGCCAACCATATCTTGGAACATTCTGGAGAGCCAAGAGGGGGAACACTGACTGCAAAAGTTTGTTTTATTATGAATTTCAAGCGTAGACGCTTACACAAATGTTGTTCAAGTGTAAAAGTAAAGCTAATAAATAATTTTATTTCCAGTCACATTTAAAAAAAACCAGATCATCTTTTCTGTTTCATACCAGGAAGGAAAAACAAGTATTTGACTATAAAATAAGAATAAGATACAGTACTCTGCTCACTTTTTTTCTTTTCTTTTTTCTGGGCATACCTTCTTTCGAAGTTTATTATTCTGTATATTTCTTGGCTTTAATGAAACAAAGAATGTATGGAATAAATTCTTTTAATTTTTTTTAAATTATAAGTTTTCTTTAAACAATATTGACCAAAAGATTCAGTCGTCACTGTCCGATTCCGATAGTCCTATTTGATGTTGCTGCATTCTTATTAGTTTGAGCTGCTCCAATAGAACCAGTGTCTATAGCTCAGCTGTCGAGAGTCCCTCGGTTTCCTCTGTTTCTGGAGGAGTTGATGATTTTCTTTTTTTCACAGGCCTTGAAGGAATCACATGAGTTTCCTTCTCTGTCCTCTAAGGCTGAGACTTCATAGACGTCTTGGATGTAGAGTAGGTGTAGGGTGTTACCTAAGCCAACACGTATGGCACCTGAATGAATTAGCAATAAATCTCTTACTTTATGACGAGAAATTCCAGCAGACATAAATACATGTAATTTCAGGCCACATTATACAAATATTGAATGCTTCGAGTGGTGTAGTAAAAATAGCCTCCCGAGGTGATCCAGGCTAGTTTTACTTCACCACGAGATAAAAGCATTCCATATTTGTTTTATAACACTTCACCCACAGATTCTGCTTGGTTTTAATATTTTAAATTATTGAAATCTGAACACAGTTGAAATAAACTTCAATATCAATACAAAATTGTTGGAAAATGTATTTCTCTCTTCCAAACCACCCCTTCACGAAATGTTTGAACCCAACTCTGCGGCGCGCTCTCTTTGGAACAAAACGTGCTACGCACAACGCGCACACCATTCATTTGCTTACAAATACTGCGCCATGGATATAGTATTTTGGTTGCTAATGGTATAGTACTTTTGGCTGTGCACAGAAAGATAGCAAAAATAGAAAGTATCATGTGACTCGCTCTCGGCCAATCAAGACACAGAATCTGTGGGTGAGGTGTTATAACACAAAATATATGTCTATATATATAAAATAATAATAAACACTTATATAGCGCTGGTATACGCCAGTGGAGATACTCATGGCGCATTATACAATGTACATGTACAGCGTGTGTCAATAAAAACGCAGGATTCAAAGCGATTTTTTTTCTGAGAAAATTATGCTACTGGTGTGCCTAATTTGATAAGGATTTGATTGTCCATAATTTCATCTTTGACAAGATTTTTGTTTGGTGGAATTTGAACTTTTGGTTCAAAAGTTATGACAAGTTTTGTGAAGCCCTTCTGAAGCAGGTTGGTCTGATTCAATGACCTTAACACAACGACCAGTTATGTACAATGCAGGTATGCATTGAAGACAATTAAACCAGAACAAAACTTTCTTTGAAACAACTGATGATAAGTATCACTTAAATTTAATAACTGGACTATCATTGTTTCAAAGCATCACTTGGGCAATTATTGACTAATAACATTGATTGTGGACTAAAGGATTATGTAAGCCTAATCTTGCCACACATGTCCTTCTTTGTGATCCACAAATACTTTCACCTGTACTGAATTCAAACCTTTCATTAGGTATGTGTGATTTCACAAATCAGACCAGCTTGGAATTTATAACCCTTCTTCAATGTACTCTATCTGGACAGGATTGTCCAAATGAGATGGGATAAAAAGCATAGTGAAGAGAAGGAAAGGTACTTTGAAAAGAGGGTTAACATTATGATGAATAGGGGTGGTTTATATTCTTAATATTTTTGTTTCTAATCCTGCGTTTTTATTGACACATGCTGTATATCAATAAACAGTTGTGAAATACACAGGAAAAATGTATTAAACTGAAAAATGTGAGATGAACAAATATGTCTTAAGGGATGATTGGAATGATTGCAAAGAAGAACACTTTTGTAATTTAATTGGAAGATTGTTCCAGAATTTGGGAGCGGCATGTGAAAAAGACTGTTCCCCCATCAGTGACGTGTGCGGGGGGACAATCAGGTTGAGGCTTGGCAGGATGGCATGATTTACAGTGTCAAATTCTGATGATAAGTCAAGCAATACCAGAGCGGTCACTCTACCAACAGCCATCCGTCTGAGAACATGGTTAGCAAGGTGGACAAGAAGGGTCTCTACACTGTGGCTCTGGCGACATGCAGATCAGTAGCTGTCCATTTGATGATTTTCCAGTAGAAATGATGATGCCCTTGAAAAGGCGATGCCCTCCAGTATCTTTGAAATATAAGGCAGGTTTGAAATAGGACGATAGTTTTGGAGTTTGTGGGGTCGAGAGTAGACTTCTTGAGCAGTGGTCGCACTTGGGCATGTTTGAGATGGGGCATGTTTGTGATGGGGGGGAGGGGGGGGGGGTGGAGGGAATGACACCAGATTCCAGACTTTGATTTTTTTATTTCTGTGATTGTAGGTACAATGGAATTAGCACATTGTTTCAATAGCCACGTTGGGATGCAAGGGCGGATCCAGGGGGGGGCCAAAGGGGGCCATGGCCCCCCCCCCCCCAAAACGAAACCAATTTTTTTTTTTAATGTGACATCGCAATAAAGGAAGGCAATGAGTACACCACCATCTTTTCCTCAAAAAAAATTGGTTAAAGTGGTCAGAAATTGCCTCAGATCGCACCACAGAGCATCTAGAATCCAATAAGCCGTAATTTTTGAGACCCACTTTTTTGGGGGGGACCAAATTTTTTTTTGGCCCCCCCCAAAATTGTGTTCTGGATCCGCCCTTGTTGGGATGGGGTCTAAATCACAAATTTCGCTGGTGATTTATAAATGGATATACCAACTTCCTTGAGAGAAGCTGAGCAAAGAGTTTAATTGTCCACATTGTCTGGGAACTAGACCTGTCAGGCACAGAAGGAGATAGGGCATCCCTATTACACCAAGAAACAGCTGAAGCGATCAGTGAGAGAACTCACAGAGTCATGGGGGGGGGTAGATTAGGCACCTAGGTCCTGCGAAGAAGTTTATTTGCAATAGGAAACAGTTGTTTCTGATCCCCAGAGAACTCTGAGACTCTGCTGGCGTTGTTGGCAGTATAGTTGGTCTATTTCAAGAGATGATACCCTCCAATACCGTTCAAGGTGGCATCGCTGCTGTTTGGCCCGAGAGACCTCTTCGTTATACCAGCCAGTATTAGACCGAGGTTTGACACCTCATTTCTTAGCAGGGGCGTGTTTGTCAAGGATGCCTGAAAGTGTCCGGTTGTACGTTTCAACTGCATCCTGTATCTGGTCAGCGCAGCAATTTGAAGGGAGACTATATGCTTCAATGTCAACCATAACTCTTCCGGATTAATGGCACGCAAGTGCGTAATAGATATCACCCTGTACTGAGATTGGGGTTTACAGATCAACAAATTACATGTGATGGCAGAATGATCTGAAAGGCCGCTTATCACCTGTAGAGATGAGAAGACGAGAGCATCAGCCACTCGTATGATGAGAAGGTCAAGTGTATGACCAAGTTGATGGGTAGGGGCATGGACATGTTGTTGAAGGCTATGCGAAGCAAGTAAATCAACAAACTGTGTGGCTTCTGATGCAGAAGGATTGTCAATATTGAAGTCTCCAGTCATGATGATTGAAGAAGAATCGAATAAGAAGCTGTCAGCAAGGCTGTAAAACTCTTCAATGCTTGACATGAATGGATATCTGGAACCAGGAGGTCTGTACAGGAGCACGAGGTGGATTGTTACAGCATTGGCTATAATCTCAGTTTGCATTAATTCGGTAGTGTCTGGAGATTGTTGAGCATGCAGAAAGTGATTTGCTGATCAGATTTACTATGCCCAGATCTTGAATGTTTAGAAAGTTGAATCATGTTGTGTACATACCAGAAGGAGGGTTTGTCAGAAACAAATTCAGGATGTAGGGAGTCATTAATGACCCTGGAGAATCCCTGATTGCCGTTAATGACAGGTATAGATCTGATAGTCTTCTTCCACCTGTGTATCCTGGCCTTCATCCACGGTGTGTGCCGGCAGTTTTTACAGTTAGATGCAAGGGTTGTAACAGGTAAAGGGTGGCTTGCACAGGGTACACGTAGCAGTGTTGTAGTCGAGACCTCCATGTCCGTGACCAAGACCGAGACCAAGATTCCGAGACAGACCGAGATGGTGATGGTTAGTCGCGTCAGCGGTGGGCCAATGACGAGCTCTGGTGCATGGCCGTATGGTGTGTGTGGGAAAGGTGTAGCTGCCAACTCAATCCAGTGTACAACGTGTAGGAAGTGGGTTCACAGGTGATGTAGTGGCTTGAAGGGTAGTCTTCAGGCTGCTAGCACCACGTTCGTCTGTAAGAGATGTCGGGGTGATGGTCTACGGCCAGAGGAGAGAGAAGCGGGTCTGGAGGTCTGCGGTGACACGTATGAGGTGGTGGAGTCGTTCTGCTACCTGGGTGACATGCTGGGTGCTGAGGGAGGAGCAGATGCAGCAGTGACATCACGCGTGAGGAGTGGGTGGAAGAAGTTCAGGGAGCTGGCCCCATTTTTGACATCCAAGGCGCCGCCCCTGAAGATGAAGGGCCAGGTTTACACCGCCTGTGTCCGAAGCAGTATGGTGTACGGCTGCGAGACATGGCCCACAAGGGTGGGGCACATTCAGCAGATGGAACGAGCAGAGATGAGAATGATCAGGTGGATGTGTGGGGTGTCTCTGGCTGACAGGCTGTCAAGCGAGGAGCTGAGGAGGAGAGTGGGAGTGGAGGGGATCGGCATCGTATTGAGGAGGCACAGGCTGAGGTGGTTTGGTCATGTGGAGAGAAAGGAGGATGTCAACTGGGTCAACAGGTGTACCAACGTAATTGTGGGTGGGCCCACACCCGTCGGCCGACCGCGCAAGACTTGGCAGAGCTCCGTGTCAGATGACATGCGACTGCTTGGAGTCAATGCGAGGGATGCGACGGACAGGGCCAAGTGGAGGAGAGCCATAGGGAGAAAGCAGGCCAACCCAGAACAGACTGGACAACGGCCTTAAAACCGACATGATGATGATGACCGAGACCGAGACAAGCATAAAGAAAAAAAAACAAAGAAATCTTACATTTCCAAATATAGTATGGGCAGGTTGAAAAAAATTCAAAAATATTTTGGATGAGTTTCCTACTTACCCTGTTGATTGATTTTTAATGTAAATTTTACTAACAAACAATGCAAGACCTTGCCCCGAAAACAGTGTCTAAAATGTTGTCAGTCAGGCGAATTCCGATTTCAAAATTAGGCCCTTTAAATTACTGCCTAAATTGCAGCCAACAGAGTTTGATAAAGTCGGTGTACAACTTGCTGCAAACAAACTTCAAACTTTGTCTAGCAAATTCTCACTAAATTTCAGAAAGGAAGCACAAGAACATGTTACATTTGCACGTGCAAGCGTTGGTGGTCACGTCTAGGACAGTACAATGTGTAGGAGTGAAATACATGGGCAACATAGCTGTGCACAGGTACCGAATTGACAAGCTGAATTGACTGGTCTTTATTCCAGCTTCATTCTTCAGCATGAAAACTTACACTTAACAAATTCTTTCATGTTTGGAATAAAGACTAGACTTGTACGTATTTCAGCTTGCAAACGAATTAAGCCATACTTAAATGGTGCATTTTGTTGAGGTCTCGACAGGTCTCGGGGGTAAGACCCGAGACTTTTGCATCCGAGACCGAGACCGAGACCAGAGCTTTCAAGACCAAGACCAGCCCTCCCGAGACCGATACTTTGATAGGATGAGACTGAGACCGAGACCACAAAAAAGGTCTCAAGACGGTCTTGAGATCGAGACCAGGTCTCAAGACCTACAACACTGCTCCGTAGTAGATCGAAAGATACAATTCTACGGCAAGTTTCATAAGTAAAGGGGCACTGAATGTATGAGTCTAATTCCTTATTCAGTGAATGCATAAATGTTGGTAGATACCTCTGCTGGCAGGAACAAGCAATCGGCATTGTGATACCCTGCGTGAAATACAATGGATTCATCTGCATACAAAGTCCTAGATCCATGGAGATGTCTGAGCTGCCAATAGCTCTGAAAGGACCATTAACAAAGAATTGGTTATATACCTTTTACTCCACTGATCACCAAACTACTTTGCGTCTGCATCATGCCCAGCAGCAGTTTCTCCTACTCCTTCAGTTGGATTGGTTTGTTTCCGGTCTTTGACACATCAGACTTCAGTTTCACATTGCTCTTCATGTTGTTCAGCTTTTTATGATTTGCTTGTATGAGTCTGTCGGGGAGATGCCTGTTGCGCACTAATACTCAACTGCCAGTTTCTTAAGTGCACACTCTTTCACTGTTTTATTTTAGGTAACTGTGACATCGTAAGGCCCAACAAAAAATACCCGTGGTTCAGATCACTCGACCGACCCTATTTTTGAAAGCGATAAAATGCGACCCACACATTATTAAATTTTGCCCTTCACCGACGGAGGGAAAAACCTAATTTTGAATTGACATCACCCTGATGCAAATTCCGTCTTATGAATAGCATATTAATAGATATGTTTGGTTTCGAAAAGACAAACTCTGCCTTGGCCTTTTTCTAAAAGTCTCTTGGTTCATTTTATAGCTTTTTAATTTCAAATATTATAATAGATGTTCAATTGGAGTTGATCTAACATAGAGCACTTATATGATGATGAAACTCACTAAGGAGGAACATGTGAACGTGTTTATTGTGGTGACAGGATTCAATATTCAAAGTGATATGAAATGATTACAGATGTTGTGGTGGTTTTTATCAGTTATATTTAGAATAGAGTTAAATATTAGGTTTGATGATTGACACATAAGTACTTTTTTTGTCAAAAGGTGATGGGATAATAACAAGAGCTGCAGACTCGGAGCAAAAAGCTTGGCAAGACTTGTTGAAGCTTGATGGTAAACTGAAGCAACAGCAGCTAGATATGCAGCAAGACACACAACATGAAATCATGCTGCAAGCATCAAGAGATCAAGTCAAGGATCAGACGAGATCAGCTAAGTTAAAACAACATGCTGATGAGTTGAAGCAAATGCAGCAGAACAGAAAGGTTAATGTACAATTACTTGTTGGGTCGTTTTGTTGTTTTCAGTTCTCTGCTTTGGCTATTTCACTACTTAGCATACATTCCCAAGGAGTATACATGTACCTCCAAAATCCAAATCCTCCAAATGTACATGTAAACTTGTTAAATTTAACAAAGAAAAACACAATTTGAGCATTTCCTATTTGATCCTGTTGTTGGGAAGAGAAAATGCTTTAATTGATTGAAATAAGTTCTCAAGCCGAACCACAAAACCAAACCAAAATTTGCCATACATGGCACTTCTGAACCCAACCAAACAAACCCAATTTGGTTGTCCCGTTGGGCATAATTCAGCAATGCATCATTTAACATTGCGTATACGGATTTGCTCAAACAAACTTATCAAAACTTGCACCATAAGAAATATCAAAAGTTTCTTTTGAATTAAAAGAAAACAGTATTTAAGGCTGAAAATACCGAGTTAAAATGAACCTGAACATTGTTCAGAGATGAAACTTTTCCGATTTTAATCGGAAATCCGACTTTTTGAATTTTCCAACGAAATTTCTGATTTTCTTACAATGTGTCCCACAAAATTTGATTTTGTAACGATTTTTTCACAAAATGTCATTTTATTTCAATCATAATTTCGAAGAAAAGTCGATGAAAAGTCAATGGAAATGGCACGTTAAAATCATCGCGAACGTAGTTGTAGAAGATACCGATGGCGGCGGCTGTGCTATAAATAATTTGGTCACCGACATCACACGACTGGTGATAACTTCGTTTAATCTGTAACAATAAATATGAAAAAACAATACAAACATTACGATAGGTTCCAATTATTAAGCTACAATATACATCATATTTTGGTCATGAATATCCATGCAGTTTAAAAATGAACGAATCAATAAAGAGTATTTTAATTTACTTACGACTTTGTTGGCATTTGTAGCACACTTCTATGAACGTTGTTTATTTTACAAACATGTAAAAAATCAATGAAGAAACTAGTAATATGAATTCGAACAATTATTTGTAAGCGCAGCGCACACGCGCAAAGACGTGCGTGCACCAGGCGCGCGCGCTACAACGCCCGCTGACAAACATTTTTGACATTAACAGTAGTTTTAATCTCTTTCACCAGTCGTTATTGGAGTGTTTCAACGGTAGAAACACAGGCCATAACACTGATCGGAGCCTTTTTCCGGCTGGACAAAAGGTTAAACATTGACAGGTGACATGGAAAAATCACTGTGTCGCACGTGCGTGCATATGTACAAAGATGCAATGGCTCCAGCGTACGTACCGCACCGTCCGCTAGTGCATAGCACATGGCCGGTCGGGAACGATTAGCCTCGTGAACGATCCAGTGGATAAACTCATTATGTTGTGCGATTTTCGGAGGTTTCAGATTTTATTGTACAAAATGCAATGCTTTAAAAATCATGATGATTATCTGGAGGATAGCGAAGAGAGCATTAGGGAAACATTTCGCCGGCATTTGTTGGAACAGAAACACGATAATGTCTGATTTTTCCCCACGTACGAATGCAAGTGGAGTAGTGGAGTTGTGTGGTTGAATCATGGACATGATTGAAGCACCATGAACGGTGCCCTTGTCTTTCAGACTTTTTCCTCGACTTTTAAAGTAAGAAGTGAACTTCTTTGTTGATGACTCTATTACTCTAACCGTAATTGAGGTGTTTTATTCAATGAAAACACTGACCATTTTTTTTTTTCATCGTAAAATTTTGTTTGAATCTAAAATAATTAAGCAGGAGTTGGCGTCCGGAAATTGGGCATGAAGTGTATTGTACATGCAGGTACATGTGTGTAACTGCAGCGCGGCCCAGATTTCGGACACGTATTTTTGTTGACGTGTCTGATTTGTTTGCCATATGCCAGTTTCATCTCTGATTGTTGTCGTGCACATGCAGTAATTTATTACATGACCAATGGCCAGCACAATGTTCCGATGATTATTTGTGTTCTCTGTTGCACCGTATCACCGTATGTGAACTGACCTTGTGCACACACTGGCAGCCATTTGCAAATGCCACTTGCTGAAATCTTCAGTGTTAGATGGTATCAGAAATGTTTCCGTGACATACATCCTGCAGTCTTTAAGGTGATGCTTTCTCTGAACCGAAAGACCATTGTACTGGATATTATGTGCGAAATTTTTAAGATGAATGTTACAGTAACAGTTCACCCTTACTAAAGGGAAGCACGTGAAAACCTCCAGAGAAATTGATTGTATCATTGGCATTCAGAACACACGTATACCCAGATAGCTGAAATGGTTCAGAATTACACACTGAAAAGTTTTTATAAGATGGAATTTTGCGTCGGGGTGATGTAAATCAAATTAGGTTTGCCCTTCACCGACATATAAACACTGTATACTCAGAGTATACACTGAGTATACAGTCTTTATACGTCTTTGAAGGGCAAACCTAATTTGATGAAAGTTTTTGTATGACAAATCATTTATTCAATTCTTGAATATGAATGAGGATCTCGTATGTTGTGTTTCCTATTTGGTTTACATGAGGGAAATGTATTCAAGTAGCTATTGTAATTGTAACCAGTAATCAACAACATGCAAACCTAGATCACACTGGAACCATCTGTAACGTGCTTTACGTCTTTTAGCATTTCCAATTCACTAGAATCTAAATGATTGAAATAGTGTTAACTCATCAAAGATTCATTGATAAAACTACTTCTGTTGGTTTTTATTTGAAGGTTGTTGAGGCCAAAGCAGCACAAGAGCTGGAATTACAAAGCAAGAAAAACCAGGAGGTTCTAAATAAGCACCAGGTAGTATTATGCTTAGTGTTTAGTAAGCACTGCTAGTTATCATTAGCATCATTTTGACTAATATAGTTTGATTTGAATTCACAACCACACATCAATGCTTGTGCTGATAACAGTGCTGCTAATAATGAATGATTATACCACTGGACTCATAAGACGTAAATAACAAGTGGAGGGCATGCAGTTAACAATGAGAATTATCTCATGCAATGTGACTGCTATTATTTCCAAAGGCAGCTTCATACTCAGCATGAAATCAAATGTAAATATCAGAGAGAACAGGTATGATGCGAAATCAGGTCATTGCCTGAGTAGGATTCACATTCTACTAAGAAGAGGAACATGTAGCCACACTGATTTATCCTGTCTTTTTATTTGAGGCTGACATTGAGAAATTTGCCAAAGAAACAGAAGCGGAGAGATTGGAGTTTGAATGCCATCTTGCTGCCGACAGAGAGCTCAAACAGAAAGAAAGATTGCATGCAGCTACACTCATTCAGGCTGCAGTACGCTCATATAGGTAAGGTAGTCTTGGCAACATACTTTGTGACGCTAAGTCAATCAATACATGAATCAGTTTTGTTTGGTCCTTACTGGATGACGATGATGTAGGCTTGTGGAATGTGACCAGGCAAACATTGCTGTCACTGGTTTGAAACTATGTTTGCCATATTACAGTCTTTTCCAAAACTTGGACTTCTTATCATATGACACATCTTTCATTTTTCATATGTGGCTAACTAATCACAGGTGCCTTCTGAGTGACATTGGACAAACTGGGCATTCGTTGGGTGCCCAGTGTAGAATCTCTCTGCCATATAAGTCTAAAAATAGAGCCACATTTTGAGGTGCGCAACATACATCAAGACAAAAGGCCACAGTTCAGGCAAATTTCATAATCTGTTACTTTTTCAGTCCTGAAATTGTACTATATTTGTATACTGGTAAATGTTATGATAATTAGTGCAGTGCAAGGCCATTTTACAACATCTTTTAAGAAAGGTTTTTTTTCATCCTAACAGTATGATGTTCAAATTTTCTTGAACAATGTTTGAACAAAGCTTTCCCTTTTAAAGCCATCAAATGACAAATGAGTTGATCGCTGAAAGTGTCAACAATTAAAACTCAATCCTGTTAACTGTTCACTTGTTGTCTGCTGTGGAGATGATACAGTGCAGATACAGTGACATAGTTTGCAAGGTGTTTTCTCACGTAGTCATTCAAGTTGCACTGTGCTGGGCTGATCCCATCAGCCTTACCAACAAGCCCTGTCAAACTACCCAGGTTTTATGTCAATTAATATTCAGATGACTTTATATCGCACGCGGGGTTAAATTTTCCTTAAATTTTCCTTGACCTCTTTCAATGTTTCAGTTTTACATCACGATTATGGTGGTGTTACAAAGACATCAATTCTCCAGCTTTCCCAAAAGACTTACATCTGTGATTTTCTTGGAGAGTCTTGGAATTTTTTTATGTTAACGTGTTCCTTGAAAATGTGTTAAATGATCTAGTACATATTGACAGACAGTGATTAGGTTTTCAAGAAATATTTAGTTCATTAAATAACACTTCATTTTTGTGTCTTATGTAATAACAACCCTATCAAAGTTGAACACTATGTTCATAAATAAATTGATGAGAAATAGTTGCCTTAAGTAGTGATTCGGCTCATGCTGAAGATAGGGGTACTTGGTGTGAAAACTACATTGTCTTGATCCGTGACTAGCAATGAAGTCTCTATCCATCTGGATAGAAACTGCTTGATGACATTATATTTTTCTAAAATTGCAGAGTAAGAAAGAAGTACATTTCTCGTTTGAATCGCTTAAGAGAAGAAAGACACCAACGACAGCTTCAAAATAGACAGATGGAGATTGTTGCTGTGCGTAGAGCTGAAGAGCAGAGAAAGAAACGAGAGAGAGAAGAAAGGAAAAAGAAAGAAGAGGAGGAAAGGTAAGGAGCTAGTCAGTCATACTGGAGTAGAATCATCACAACTGAGTCTGAAGTACAGCCTTAATATGAAAGATTGTTAAGCCCTGCCTACACTATAGGAGTCTGAGTCTAGAGCTATAGCTAACTCACTGTACACAATGCAGGCTCCTGGATGCATTCATGTCTGTATTTGATACCGATTAGTACATCAATCCCATACGCCCAAAACTGAAATGCACTATCAGTCAATTGAACTCTGAAACTCCACAGCGTTTCACTTGTGGGATACTGAGGTTTCTAAATACCTTCTTGTTAGTCCCTGGGATAGGGCCATTTAATCGCAAAATTTTATGATTAATCTTAATATTATTTTCTGTTGTAGTATACCTTGGGACATCTGAAAATGGTGCTCTTAAGTTGCACAGCCGGTATTTTTGCCTTCCAGCTCCAAAAAACTGATATTTTGGGGGGCTTATTTTTTGAGAAACGGCTAAATTTATATTTTGGGCCTCTGCTCTCTCCAAAATGGTCCCGTCGTGACCTGTTTGCACTTTTTACCATTCTGATAGGATGGGTAAACAAGAAAAAATATGGTTGGTCACAAGTTTATCCGTTTTTGTGTTCCCAGGGCATATATTGCTTTGCTGACACCCCCCAAATCCTGTGACTTTGCCCTGTTTGGGGACAGAAATGAGTTTGAAACTGACACTTATTACAAAGATACACACTTTTATAATTTAAAAACTGCCTGAGGCCACAAGCTTTAATTTAAGTGGTAGATAAGCTTTCTGTCTTGAAAATTGGGCTCGCCATGGCCATTTTTGCTTCCCCTACCCCTAAATCACTCAAAACGGCTGTATAGTGGTTGGCATAGCAAACTTATTGTGCATTTTATGATAACAATGCCAAATTTGGTACAAAGATAGACCAATATCATATCAACAAATGTGGATATTAAAGCATCGCAGATCTGGCCCTTGATGGCCGTGGGAGCCATCATTTGAAAAGTGCTGAGTCATGCTGAGTCAGCACTATTTTGTAATGCGTTTTCTCGTGCAATATGGAGGCTAACATTTTTTTCTGCCTTTTTTTCTACACGCTTGGAGGCGAAACAGGCATAAACAATGGATTTTTTTTCAATACGTCATTGAAAAATCTTATTAATGCCTGCCAGGTGATGTCAGGCCTGGCTACACCTGCAAGAATTGTACTGCACTGTAATGTAGAATACAGATGTATATGTTGTCCTACACAAAGTTAGTTGGGAATTCAAGTTCTGACTCGCCAAAAATGACGTCCTGACAATGTTTAAGACCATCCACTATCATAGCAGGAATGGGTCTGGCAAAAACCTTGCCCCACAAATAAAAATCAACTGATTTTAGTCTCAAAAAATGCTGAATCAGCATTTTTTAAATGTAATTATGTTTCAAGCTTACAGTAGGTGAAAAAAAGATTGCTAGGTCATTTTCATAAAGTTAACCATAGTATCCGTTTACAGACATGCTTGTAAAATGCAGCGATGGTGATTTATGGGGTGTCGAAGGAAAACATGGTTAAAGGTTGGAGGGGGGGGGCAGGGGGCGGGGTTTGGACTATCAACAATATCTATGCATATCGAATTCCTAGTACATGCGCACTTGTGGTCTAGAATGTGCAAATGGGTGTAAATATGTCATGGGAACACCATTTAGGGAAAACTTACACAGCACATTTAGGTATACCGGTACAATGTACATTTGCTAAAAGAATAGGCCTATAATCTATATATACGCACAGGGATAATTTTTTAAGGGGGGGGGCGAACATGAACCCACCCCCCCCCCCCCCCACGATCCTCCCTCCCCTGGGGCAATGCCCCACATTCCCGATCGTGTCCAATCTGTCCATAGAAAAATGGATTTGTTTGTACATGTATTTTATTAATTACACGTTTTTTAGTGCAGCCCGGGCATGCATGGTAAACGGGTCCAACTTAACGAAGTCTTATATAGCTATAGAAACTTTTTGAAATTGCTTCCACACAACAAAATAAGCAAAATGATACCAATAAATTAGACATATGACATTTCTGTTGGTTTGGAGAAAAAAAAACCGGATGACAACAAGTGGCATAGTGGGGGTGAAGCCCCACAAACTGACCTCCCCCAACGGCGGATTAAAGGGGGAGGGCGGGGGGGGGGGGGGGGGGAATGGGGCCACGCCCCTCTTTCTTTTTAGTAACGTCGCTAAAAAGGCAGCTATTGCATACATCACACACAAAACTCAACAAAACAATAAATGTGCACCTCCTCCCCATGTTTTTCTATTAAATTTGGGGCAGACATTTTTGGACACATTTTTTTCTTCAACTAGATTCCCCCCCCCCCCAAACAAATTGTGTTTAATATGGAAAACAAGGGGAGTGGGTACAGATTTATTGTTTTTGTTGAGTTTTGTGGGCGGTGTACACAATAGCTGCCTTTTTGAGCGACGTAACTAAAAACAAAGGGGGGCGTGGCCCCGTTGCTCCCCCTCCCCCCCGCCCTCCCCCTTTAATCCACCGTTGGGGGAGGTTAGTTTGCAGGGGGTCCCTACTATGCCACATTTTGTTATCCGTTTTTCCCAAACCAACTAAAATATCATAATCCATTGGTTGTATTCGTTTTGCTTATTTCGTTGTGTGGAAGCAATTTCAAAAAGTTTCTGTAGCTGTAAGACTTCGTTAAGTTGGACCTGTCACTGACCAACATGCCCAGGCTGCACTAAAAACGTGTAATTAATGAAATACATTATACAAACCAATCCGAGAATTTTGGACATGGCCCCGGGGGAGGGAGGATCATGGGGGAGGCGGGATCATGTTCTGCCCCCCCCCCCCCCAAACAAATATCCCAGTGCATGGTCACAGACCAGTAAATCGGTCCGAAACTGCTTACCCCGGCCAAATCACGATTTGCATGCCCTCAAAATCTTCAGTATTTGAGCATGCTGTGGGTCATGAACTTGAGTGTTTGTAAAAAATATGGGTGGGAGCCGTGCACAGGACTGTGAGTTTGTAGTTCCGTTCAATTTGGATAAATTGGGGCAAAGCGCTCTATTTTGCAATGGAGTGTAGGCATCGTTTTTCATAATGGCGATGGGCTTCAGGACTATTTTCAGGGGTGATCATCTTCGGATGGAAATTTCTCCTAAAAGTCATCAGTTGACCCCCCAAAAATTGAAAAGAAAATGAAAGATAATGAAATAAGCTTTAATTTGATGTGTGTCTCAAACACCTTGGAGAGTTGTGAGTATTTTTCCCGAATTTCTGAAGTAGGAGCATTCACCATTGGGGTCTATGGAAGTTTATTTACTGGTCTGCAACCATACAGGCCTTTTCTTTTAGCAAATATATATTGTTATAAATGTGCTCTGTAAGTTTTCCCCAAATGGTGTTCCCATGACATATTTTCACTTATTTGTACATAATAGACAACAAATGCAACATATTAGGAATATGCATAGATATTGTTGACAGTCCAAACCCCGCCCCCACCCCCTCCAACGTTTAGCCAGCTTGTCCCTCGACACCCCATAAATAACAAAGAATCATCATCACTGCATTTTACAAGCATGTCTGTATACGGAAACTAAGGTTAACGGTGATAAAAATGACCTAGAAATGTTTTTTTTTTCACCGTAGCTTGAAACAGAATTGCATTTAAAAAAAAGAAGCTGATTCAGCATTTTTTGAGACTAAAATCAGTTGATTTTTATTTGTGGGGCAAGGTTTTTGCCAGACCCATTCCTGCTATGATAGTCGATGGTCTTAAACATTGTCAGGACGTCATTTTTGGCGAGTCAGAACTTGAATTCCCAACTAACTTTGTGTAGGACAACATATACGTCTGTATTCTACATTACAGTGCAGTACAATTCTTGCAGGTGTAGCCAGGCCTGACATCACCTGGCAGGCATTATTTAGTTACAAGCTGGTTTACCCGATCATAGATCGGGTAGGGCATAGTGATGGGGGTGAAAATGTGGGGAGTTAAATGTAAATGGGGGATATAGTTGGGGAGACATGCAGTTAAAGAATAGCAATTTCTGTGGTGTGATCTGAGGCAATTTCTGATCACTAACACCAATTTGAGCAAAAGATCATCTGTGAAAGTTTTGAATTTTGAGTAATTGAATCAGCTACATGTATTCTGAGCAATAGAATCATTATTGTAGGCTACAATATTTTTATTCGGGGAAGGAAAAGTGTGGGGGGAGACCAAACAATGTCCCCCCTCAAAATGTGTGTGTGTGTGTGTGGGGGGGGGGGGGGGTTCCCCTGTCCCCCGTCGATTTACGCACATGATAATTATGTACCATGGCAACTGTCTGTAAATATTGCCGTTGGTCTGTTAAATTGGCTTTTTGTGAGGCAGTCGCATTTGGAAAACGTAGTGAAAATGTTACTGTAGTACACAGGCGAAGGCTGGTTGTACAGTTTGACAATAAATCATAATGCAATAAAACGTGAAGGTGTCATTTAAAATGAAAATGTTGAGTGTTACCCAAAATTACAAACGGTCTTAATCATGGAGGAAGGTCATAATTAAGTTTCAGTATTGGACTCTTCAACAAACGTAAACTTGAACTTCTTACAATTTGCGAGACCGTCTGCGATGCAACTTTTATTTAAGTTGGTTCAACCATCTATATATAAGAGCAAGTTTTACTCGGCCTCCGAGAAATGTTTGCTTCTGAACGGATCTGAGACCGCGGCTTCACGTCCGTGGAAAAATGTGGGTGTCTTCCGCCGGGTCGCACACTTTTTCGTCGATGTTTTTGTGACTTCGTTTAAGATCGCGATATTTGAAGCAATGCATCGATCCTTCGTTGACCCCAAACAGGCCCCCGAAATTATAACGCGACACTGAATAATACGTGGCGGGCAGCGAACTCACAACGCTCAGCCTTGGTGGTGGAAGCATGGAGCTGTAAACACATTATGGAAGCAACAGCACTCTATCACGCGACGTCACATGCTTGTGCTTCAAGTAGTGAGCACCGTAGACTCAACCTCGTTTCCAAGGTGTGGAGCAGGCTGCAGTACGCGTTGCCAGTGACGGTTTTACGCATAGCCGGGAAGTACCACGCAGTGTAGACTTTCGATTGGTCAGACCGCGCTAGGCATACTAATGTGTAGTCCTTCTGAATATTCGTTGCACTCGGCGCAGGGGCGGCAAGCGAAGCATATGAAAGAATAGGGACACTTGGTTGCCACGCACCATGGACAAAAAATATTTTACCAAGGTCACCCCATACTAACGTTTGGTGAACGCTTTTGCAGAAGGGCCGAGTAGAACACGTAAACGAAACCCCTACGTTGACCTCGCTGACCTCGCACAGTCTAGACACGCAGAAAAGCCAGCACGGGGGGCGGCCAGGCAGTCAACGTGAAAGTGCACACGACGGCAAATTCCTGCGCAAAATCCAGTCACGAAAAATCGACGAAACGGATCGCCGGTCCGTACGGGAAAATTAGGACGACCCGAAGCGTCCGACCCGGCGGAAGACACCCTCCGCATTTTTCCACGGACGTGGAGCGATTTTGGGGCTGCGGGAGCCTGCGGTCTCGGATCCTTTCAGGAGCAAACATCGTCTCGGGGGCGAGTAAACTGCTCTCTTATATATATAGATTTTCAATAAGGTATTGAAAGAAAATCCATTGTTTATGCCTGTTTCCCATCCAAGCGTGTAGAAAAAAAAGGCAGAAAAACATGTTAGCCTCCATATTGCATGAGAAATCGCATTACAAAATAGTGCTGACTCAGCATGACTCAGCACTTTTCAAATGATGGCTCCCACGGCCATCAAGGGCCAGATCTGCGATGCTTTAATATCCACATTTGTTGATATGATATTGGTCTATCTTTGTACCAAATTTGGCATTGTTATCATAAAATGCACAATGGGTTTGCTATGCCAACCACTATACAGCCGTTCGGAGTGATTTAGGGGTAGGGGAAGCAAAAATGGCCATGGCGAGCCCAATTTTCAAGACAGAAAGCTTATCTACCACTTAAATTAAAGCTTGTAGCCTCAGGCAGTTTTTAAATTATAAAGAAAGTGTGTATCTTTGGAACAAGTGTCAGTTTCAAACTCATTTCTGTCCCCAAACAGGCAAAGTCACAGGATTTGGGGGGTGTCCGCAAAGCAATATATGCCCTGGGAACACAAAAACGGATAAACTTGTGACCAACCATATTTTTTCTTGTTTACCCATCCTATCAGGATGGTAAAAAGTGCAAACAGGTCACGACGGGACCATTTTGGAGAGAGCAGAGGCCCAAAATATAAATTTAGCCGTTTCTCAAAAAATAAGCCCCAAAAATATCAGTTTTTTGGAGCTGGAAGGCAAAAATACCGGCTGTGCAACTTAAGAGCACCATTTTCTGATGTCCCAAGGTACCCTACAACGGAAAATAATATTAAGATTAATCATAAAATTTTGCGATTAAATGGCCCTATCCCAGGGACTATGTGGGGTCACATAAGCCATATATGTAAAAACACACTGATGCACACATGCACTGACTTCTGCACTGTGTTTGTTTGACTTTGTATTGCTGTAAGGAGGAGAAAAGAGGAAATCCAGACACAGGAAATTGAAGCAAGGCAGAGGCAAGAGAGACTGCAGAAGGAGAGGATAGAGCAAGACAGGAAACAAATGGAGGTGTTGGAAAAACAAAAGAAAGAAGAAGAAAAACAAAGGCGAGACCAGCAACTGAAACAAGAACGGGAATTAGAGGAAAGAACACAGCAAATTTTGTCTAAAATTAAAAATGAGGGTAGTTTTCCTTCGGGGCTGACTGATGAGAAATTGACAGAGAATGAGACAATGAATGATGATGCTCAGGAAGTATTTCTAACCAACAGACAAGAAATTCAGACAACATTAGAACATCAGTACCCTGATTATGAAACGGTCACCAATCAACATGCCAGCAATGCAGCAGAAACACCCACATTGTTAATTTCAAAAGACCCATCAGATACAACAATGCCAGTCATTGCTGGTACAGACATGCTGCTACGCAATCATGAGACTAGCTCTTCTGAAGATAGAAGCCCCACACCAACATTAGACTTAGCTACAAGTTCTGGTTTAACTGAGAAAGTCAAAGCAGTAGCAACATGTTTGCAAAGTGCAACTCAAACTATCCCCTCAGAAACTACAGATGTGAACTCTGATCACAATCCAGTTGTATTAGACAGTGGCATTCAAGGTAATAGTGTCCAAGTGGTGAATGACAAGATAAGATCCACAGAGGAACTCTATCATCAAGACAGTAGCACATCCCCAACTCTTGCTGCAGACATTGAGGCAAGACGACTACAATGGATGCAGAATTCTGCCTCGTATAGGTAAGACATTGCATGTACATTATATGCTACCAAAACACATAGAAAGTGAAATAGAAAACCTAATATCACATCGGTACACTGATGATGCTGTCAGTTTTGACAGCCTTCTGCAGATACTCCAAAACAGTGCCAACTGATAACACCGGAAGGGATGTCACATAACCTTGCTGGTCAAACCTAAAACAGACACATAGCTGCCCAGTAATAATTAACATTTCAACTAAGTTTAAGTGATCAGCGTTTTCAGTCACAATAAAATGATTGGTGTGTTGTTTTTATTGAAGTAGACCTGTTGTTAGTGATTTGAGGTCTACTGAGACAAGAAGACCACTGAGGAGAGTCCCGGGTGCCAATAAGCTGCCTGCTCTGACATCATCACAATTACTTGCTGCTTCACAATCAGGAACTCAACTCTCACAGGTAAATGATCAGGTAACTCCTCGCTGGAATTGATAGTACAATGTATGTCAGAAAACAAGTAAATAATACGTGCTCCATTTCTTTGCTTGAACAGTGTGGCAGTTGTAATCAAAACAAGAGTTGACACGGTTTCTTTCTGCTGTGTCGTGTCAGTCTGCAGTATTCCTACATGGTGTAATGCTTTGGTTCATGTTTACTATCTGATTCAATTCTTCAAGTCTTATTCTTACTGACTAGGTGACAGTAGTCGTTATAGAGAAGTCTACGCCTTGCTGCTTGTCCTCTCTGGTTAGTTGTCCTGATCTCACATGTCTTCATCTTCACCGATGTGGAATCATGCTGCTGGAGGCTTTAGACCATTGTTCAAGTATCACATATATAGATTTACAGGTAAGAGCCTCAGTCATTTACGTATAGGTAAGAGTTGAACATTTACACACATTTTTTTTTTAAACCATTTTTGAAGTTAGTCGTTTTCTTATTACACAAGTGAATTGAATAGTGTTTCACTGAAATGAGTAATGTGTACAATTGTGTGTGCATGTGCCGTGTGCACTGCTGTGCATTAGGTAGTCATGATCCTTTAAAATGAATTTTGATCCACAGCACAATAAAGTTGAAGGAATTCATTGCCGAGACAGAACTCGACTTAAACAACTGATGTTGCAAAACAACAAGCTCACATCATCTTATGGACTAGAGGGATGCACTCAACTCAGATATTTACAGCTGAGTAAAAACAGTATTACCAGAACAGGTAAGAATCACACCAAACTATTAACGGGCATTCTAAATCAATCTGTGCTGTTGAAATGTAGACTTTGGATTTGTATGCCTACAGAAGTGTTTGAATAAACCATCACGGTCCGCACTTGGCCTCGCAATTAGGCAACACAGTGCCTGTACATCCATAGCCTTGAGAACATAAATTATGACCATTCCAGGATGAATAACTTGCTGATTGTTGTTTGATTGTTCTTACAGGGGGTTTGGAGTCTCTTGTTAATTTAACTCACCTAGACGTGAGTCATAATCAGCTAGTCAGCATCAATGGCATTGGTCAGCTCATTCATCTCACAGACCTCAACGTATCACACAACCATCTATCTTCTGTACAAGATCTCCAAACATGTTGCTTGTTACAGAGTCTAAACATTGAAAGCAACAGTCTTGTAGAGGTATGTCTCTTACATAGACCTTCGTTTATAAACATGTTGAATTGTTGGATTGAGCCTGTTTGAAGTGTGATTGACGTAGAATTTCATTCCAGTATTTGTAATAGACCACCGGAATTTGTTGTTTCTATATTTAGATGCCACCAGTGCAGAATCACGTGTTGCTGAATGATCTGAGACTGACTGACAACAGTATAAGCAGTATAGTGCCATTGTGTCAGGCCTGGTTACCACTGCTGCAGTATGTCTCCATAGCACAAAATGGGTAACTATATGCGCCGGTCACACAGAAACATGTTTATAAGCCATATACCTAAGACAGTTTACTCATTCCTATTTGTTGAGAACCCGTCACTTGGGTGGTTTTAAATAAGGGAATAAATGTGCGCTTGGGAGGTGTTAAACACTATGTTTAAGACTGGTTGGAGTCTGGAATGCTGATAATTACCCGAGGCGAAACCGAGGGTAATTATTGTTGTGAAAGGAACAGATGATGCTCAGTAGCTTTGGTGGACAGCCGATCCTTTCCAGAAGACTGAAAAGACCGCTTCTGCTCACTAGGTCGAAAACCTTGGTGCAGTCAATGAAGGCAATGTAAAGGGATTTTCTTTGCTTACGGCACTTCTCCTGTAATTGGCGTGTAGAGAAGATTATGTCGATTGTGGATCTGCCAGCACGGAATCCACACTGTGACTCTTGATACACACGTTCAGCTAGCTGTTGGAGTCTTTTGAGGGCTACATGAGCAAAGATCTTCCCAACATGCTGAGTAGGGAGATACCCAGGGTCGAGATTTTTCTGGATTTCCGGATTTTTGGTGAGACTGATTCCGGATTTCCAGCATTTTCTGTTTCCGTAATATCGCGCGAAGCACTAGGTGAAACATCTGGCAAAATGTAGGCGGTATTTACGATAATGGATGGACTGGTGACAAGTCTGATATGCAATGTAGTCAAGTACCAGATAGAAATCAATGTGGTTTGAGCAGTAAAACACTTGAGGACCAGACTAATAATAAGTTTCAATGGTGTGTGCACCTCATGTGTGCGTATACAAGTATTATGCACATGTGCAGTGGCAATCCGTGAGCCAACATATCGGTGTCAATTTTGCCGCAAGGAGACCCATCAGTGCCTTCGGCTCGGGTCATTATCCGCGTCCAGGCCCCTAGCCGGTTGTAAATGTACTTATTTAAAACCGACCAACTACATATTTACTCCCTCATTATTGAATGAACTGAAAGAACCGTAACATCATGTGGATTGCATTATTTGTTTCAGCTTGTCAGATCTACCAGATTTGAAGTATTGTCTTATGTTGAGAAGATTTGACATCAGTCACAACTGCATAACAGGTAAACTGAATGAAATCAGTTATTCTTGACTAGGAGTCTGCATTTTCCATGTTCTTTATTTATCACATGAAATCCAGTTGGTTTTTTTAGGACGGTGAAGATTTAAGAGTGGCACAAACCCAACGTCACAAACATGGTCATCAATGATAAACGTTTATGCAGCCATAACTTGAACTGCTTTGATCAGTTAACTGTTGAAACACATCAAAGCAAATGAGATATTCTTTGATGAATGAATTTATGGGTACAGGGAGGTCTCATAGCATATTGATCATCAAACATGGACATAATGTACTATTATGTACATAGCCAAATGTAATTGTACAAAGAAGACAGTATGTCCTTCTTATCCTGACGTTTGTTTCATCATTAATAGTCCTGATCATTCGATGCTGTTCCATTTACCTTCTTAATTGTATTTTTGGTTGGAATGCTTTACAGATATGGATATAATTGTTAATGGTTTGAGAGACTGTAATCATCTTGAAGATGTATGTCTTGAGGGTAATCCAGTCACCCAGGATGATCAGTATAGGTAAGCTGTGAAATGATAGGAATACAGGGCCGAGGCTGGTCTGTACACAGCATGACCTCATATGGTCCAGCTCAAGACTTCAGTTATCTTAAAGGAAACATGAAATAGGATTTTTATGACTTAAATACATGTAAAACAGCTTTCTTGCCATGTAGCTATGACTTTCCACCTCCTTTGTAACCACTTCCTTGTCATTTCCAGTGAAAACAAGTATTAAGATCTTGTATGTATTGTTCCAACACATAGTAATGTGCATGAAAACAAGATGAGCTGAATTTCCACTGCATGTTTCCTTTAAGAATCTGTGTACAAAGCATTTTTAAATTGAAACATACGGGTATCATTTTCAGATGTGACAATAAAACAAGTTTGCTTTGGTGATACCTTCTACGTATCTTATGCAGTGGTCTCATGATAGGCCAACCCGTACGAGTGCTTCGCCTCATGATGTATGCATTGACAATGGTTGTATGTTTACATGACAGGTCTGCTGTGTTGGGTTCTTTAAGATGGTTGCATGTACTAGATAATGAAGCTATTATCAAGCCTATCTCTGTACCATCACCAAGGACTCCATTGGAAAGAATGTGTTTATCACAGTTATATGCTCAGGAGCAGCTACATACAACATATCAACAGCATACAGCGTAAGTTGACTGACCTTTACTGGCGTTAACAGGTTCCTGATCTTATTCTGCAGCTATATAGTTTTTTACATGATGCTTGTTTAATGATGTTTCGGATTTTGTTATGTACTAAAATCGCATTCCAGTTTTCTGCATTAAATCAGTGGCATTGTAAACATGTTCAATGGTAAGCTGATATTGGCTCAGAATGGCACCTATGGAAAATAGTGTGTTGTAATCAACAACACAAGCAAGGATGCAACCAACACGCGGTGTAATAGAGTTTTGCGCTGACATTACAAATATCTTCAGAAGACTAATTGCAAAGTATTCAAAAGAAATGTTGACTGCTGTGATGTGGAATATGGCCTCTTTATCCCCCTTGGGATAACACCATCTCCCACATCACATCATCAAGTACTGTTAATTGTTGATGATGGGAGCTTAAGCAGTTATATACATCATTCAATTTTAGACAGTGTTACAGCCGTCGAGACTGGTCTTGGTCTCGAGACCAGTTTCGAGACCAGTTTGGACGTGTAATTAGGGCTGGTCTTGGTCTTGGTCTCGCACTTGATGTTCTCGGAATTTTGGACTGAGACCAGCACGAGACCAGTTTAAAAATGCACTTTGCACCTCATAACCTGACAAAATATCTTGCAGTTGCCTAAAGAAATCCAAATCTCGCGAGAACACATACAACCGTTAACGTTCGTACTGACATAATTGACTACTACGTTGGATGACTGGGCTATGGCTGCCATCAACAAGCAAACAGAATGACGTATTATGTACATGTACCTTGTGCATTTGTGTCATCATGCATACATGGATGACTGGGTGTATAGCCACATAAATTGCGTGGTCCCACCAGTTACCGTCTGTAAAAAGACGCGTATTTAATGCATGGCTGGTTGTCGGGGCCCGTAGTAACATATTGCGTGCTCCCACGGGTTACCCTCTGTAACTAGACGCATGTGGTGTGCACTGTTGGTTGATCTTGACTCACCTGACTGGCAAGGCACCATGCTATTTTAGGATAGCGTATGTACATTGCCATGTGGGAAGCGTTCTTGCATGATCCTGAAAGTCTGTAGTGCAATTGCGCAAAAGTTTGTCGCTTTTTCTATTCATCAGATCCACAGTTGAATCATGTCTGCCAATTTGGCAACCATATAGTATGCATACAAAAAGCACAAGAAGTACATCAGTGCCAAAACTGGAAGCATGTGTGACAACAAATTAGCTACATGTTCAGGCATTCTTATTCCTCAGACTTTCAGAGGAAACAGTATTGTCACTTTTATTGTAGCTACACGTACATGTAGGTACATCAGTATCTAAAAGTGCTGAAGTTACTGCATGCACTGTGAATGTTGTGAAATTCAAATTGGGCTGAAAAGTAAAAACTTTATTGAAGAATGGAAAGTAAAAACCATTTGCAATGCTACATTGCAAGGCCATTCCTGTCAAACTAACTTAGCTCTATGGTCATACCCCATACCCTAGCTGAACCTCCACAATTTTACATCACCGTACAAAGATGATTCACATCCCTTTATTTACAAGTCAGGTCTTGGTCTCGGACTCTTGGTCTTGGTCTCGGACTGCTTTTGTTGGCCTGGTCTTGGTCTTGGTCTCGGACTGTCGGTCTCGGTCTTGGTCTTGGTCTCGGACTGCTTTTGTTGGTCTGGTCTTGGTCTTGGCCTTGGTCTCGGACTGTCGGTCTTGGTCTTGGTCTTGGTCTCAGACTGCTTTTGTTGGTCTGGTCTTGGTCTTGGCCTTGGTCTCGGACTGTCGGTCTTGGTCTTGGTCTTGGTCTCGGACTGCTTTTGTTGGCCTGGTCTTGGTCTTGGTCTCGGACTGTCGGTCTCGGTCTTGGTCTTGGTCTCGGACTGCATTTGTTGGCCTGGTCTTGGTCTTGGTCTCGGACTGCTTTTGTTGGCCTGGTCTTGGTCTTGGTCTTGGTCACGGACTGCTTTTGTCGGCCTGGCCTTGGTATTGGTCTCGGACTGCGTGGTCTTGACTACAAAATTGATTTTAGACATGCACAGAAATTTACCAACTTTGTGAATTGATGTTGCATTTGTAGGTCATTGACAGGAAATTCTCCAAGAGACATCCTGCAAGCAAATCAAGCAAGAGATGCATACTTGGAAAGTAGTTTGGAGCAGGCTATCAGGCATCGATGTATGCATGAGACTGGTGATATGACAGAGATTCAACTTGTCTCATCAAGCAGTAAACAATCTACATTGTATGAACAATTGTCTATGCAAAGAAAAGAGGAACGGAGTACAGATCCATCCGATGTCATGCCATCAGGTGGATATGACTCTAAAGATGACTACACCAAGATAACACAGTGTCGTCATAGTCCTGCAGATGACTCCGTTAATACGTTACCGGGAAGACATGTTCATGTTGATTACGTTACAATGGCAGAAGGCATGCCGGGTTACCAACACCAGTCTGCAGATGGCAACTTGATCCCTGCTCATAAGGAAAGTCAAACCGATGATGTGATAACACATGAACGGTCTTCATTGAACAGTGGATGCTATGCTTTGGAGCACAGTATAACATCTCCACCAAGCAGTTCTCAAGCAGTGAATAAAGCAAAGGACTCTCACCCACCGCAGCATCCAATCAGGTTAGCTCAGCACATGAGTGCTAGGTTGTCCTTATTGGGCTTTAGCCAAGTTAATGAAGGGTACAAGCAATCCTAATGACACTGAGGTTTAACATACTGTAACCAAATTATCTTATTTTTCATTGTCATGCATTGTTCAGGAGGTTTAATGACGTAAAATTACATGGGTATATGGGAGCTCTCAAGGAAATACGAAACTTCCGTTATTACAATGTAATATTCTGTAACATATTAAATTGAACTACTCTCTTTAGGGATGATACATGGGGCTTTTATGTCAAAGCGTGCTTTCACGTCAAAGCGTGCTTTCACTGAACATCTAAAAATATTCCCAAATATTCTGACTAGTTTTTATACATTGATGGGTTGGAATGAAACAGTGTGGGGGTTGTGGCAGTGGATTGTCTGCATAATATGGACGATTTGCCTGAGAAACCTCCTTACTTAGAAATGTGAACTCCCAAGCCAAGCAATCCCACAGATACCCCAGTATTAGTCTGTTCCATCTTTGGCTTTGTTGTTCATGTATAATAGTCATGCAGCAACAGTGATCCAAGCAAGGTGGAGGGGCTACGTAGTCAGACGAGATCTGGATATCCATACTAAGCAGGACCTGGCAGCACTACACATACAGGTAATGACGTCCACACATAAACAGTGTCATTACAACCAGCCAAACTGTGTGCAGCCTTGCTCATGATTGGATTTGTTGCTTAATTCATGGATATGAGTGAAGGATTTTGCAAGCTGTGTGTGTGAGGGGGGGGGGGGAGCCTAGCTCATTACTATCAATCCTGATCCAGCTTTGATCTACCACTCGCATTCAAAGACTGCGTATCAGGTCATGGCATAAAGTCATTTCAAAAATGCTGATTACCACTGATCAACAATTCCCTGAATGGGTCATGTCAGCTTACAGGTTGTGATTCAGCAATTGAGTAATAATAATAATAATACCGAATTCTTATATACATGTAGTGCACGCATCTACCAACAGTTAGGTACTCAAGGCGCTGGAGTAGACTTGGAACACAGTGGAATGTGTGCCATATCAGCCCTGAATCTTATCCCACATGTACCATTAAAGGGACAGTACGTCCTGGAATGCGCCCAATTGGGCTACTAAACAAATTGAAACGAAATGATGAAATAGCATTTAAAAGTAGAATATAAACGTCCACACAACCATCCTTAAAAAAACTGGCGTTTTTGTGTTATTCTTGCGAGAACCATGCGAGAATGAATTTCGGGGGTAAAAAAATGTTTGACTCTTAAATGTCAAGCGTTTCAGTGCTATTTGTGAATCCTGCTGCATCACATTCTGCAGACGTGCGAGAAACAACATTGGTGTATTGGTGCTGTGTGTAGTGACACTCACACAATGTGTAGCATACATTGAATGGATACGGTTGGATGTACATATGCTTATGCCATCAAATGTCCGCGACGTCCGATGTAACTAGCTATTCTCCTGAATGGTAAGACATAAGGATAGTTTCTTTTCAACCAGACCTTTGAAATAGGATAAGTCAACTACCAAAAACATGATTTTTTTTGCAGATTTCAGGCCACATTAGTTGTCACTCCTCCAATGCTTGTCAAGCCCCCTTGCTGGATATTTGACCTTGTCAATCCCTTCATTGAGTCCACTCCTTCATTGGGAGTGTCTGGCCGAGCGGTTAAGAGCACCGGACTCAATCTCTGGTGTTTCTGATCAGCAGAGTCCCGGTCTTGACACTGGTGTGCTTAAGCAAGACACCTAACCATTATTGCTTTGTCCTTGGATGGGACGTAAAGTCCTGGGTCCGTGCGTTGTGTAATGCATAAAAGAACCTAGTAACACTTATCGCTAAGAGAAGGGGTTTGCCTTGGTGTTTCTGGCAGTGTGTTTATCTTCAACCATATGGCAGCACTTGCAAGGAAGGAGAAGAATCTGAAGACTCCAGCAGATTTATGTCATTAAAGGCATCTATTTACTAATTGTTACAGGTTTGTGTACCACTGGACAAAAATTACCGGCAACTTGTGCCAGGCAGTCTCCAAGAAGAAGTTGACAGGCAAATGTTCATTCCCTGTACTGTAATTTGCCAAAAAATGTACTTGATTCTTGCCAAGGGTTCCTTTAGGTTACACTGCATTTGGTTGCCTCCAAGTTGCCTTGTGTGACTTGGCCAAAACAAAAACTTGAATAATTGTTGAGTTTTGCTGTGTCTTACCAGCTGTCTATTTCATTCTATGCATATTTGTTGAACTGTGCAGACATTATGGAGAGGTTATAGAGTCAGGAAGATGGTAGCCGTTGCCAGACAAGCAGTACGTTATCGTGATAGTGAGGATGAGGAGGATGCTATGTTATATGATGAGATAGATCCTACATCATGGGATGCAGCCCAGGTAAGTACCATATGGCCTTCATACCAGGGTATATCCAAGTGCAATCATTCTTATTTGATTTAAGGAAGCCCTTTTATTGGATGGGCATTTTACTTCAGCAAAACTCGTTAAAATAGTTAGTGTAGTAACAGTGAAGACTTGACTCAACTAATTACACTAGCTGAATAGAGAACAAAGACAGCTGAACCTGAGCAATTGGGTTAGAACCTGTTATTTATGATTGATCTTGAGCTCAGTAACATCCAGGACCCAATTTCATGACTCGACTACACTTAAAGAAATTACTCACAAGTAGTCCAGTACTCGCGAGTAGTTAACCAAATTCCCACGAAAGCAGAAAAATGACATATACGTTAATTTCTTAATTTGAAACTTATTTGTTATCCCCACTTTTCCAGTTCAGGAAGTTGTAGTGTTTATGAAATGTTGATTTTGAATTTGAAGGAAAATTTACCTTTAACCCCCCCCCCCCCCCAATTAGATCTAAAGTGCAACAGAGAGCTTTTAAAGTAAAACAATTTTCAGGGCCCTTAAGCAGGCCCCGAACCCCACGCCGTGGCTTCGCAAGTTGTTGAATCACGATGGAACTTCCACCACAGGTTTGAAAAAATCCAGGGGAGAACCCTGCTAACAGTTAGCATATTTCACAGGTTAGCAAGGAATTCCGGCTTGTGTGCATACGTTCATCCCGTCGTAAGTAAAGGATGTTGGTATGATGGAGTTAGCGCAGAATTTCTTGGCTAGCTCAGTTAACACAGAGTTACAGGCCATAAGCGCAGAATCCAGCGTTACGGATTCTATAAAATTGGGCCCAGGTTTGGTTGTAACAACATCACAGTTCACAATTCAAGAAAATAGAGAAGTAGTGCTCTATTAGGACAGAACGATAAGTTTCTAATAACATTGTTGATTTGTTAATGTTATGATTACAGGCAAATGTTGATAGTGATTGGTTGGCATCAGAGACTCCCTGTATACCAAGATCTCATCCTTGTGTACCTGCCACTAAGAAGCCATGGAGTTCACATCAAGCAGTCATTCAGCATGACATACCACAACCACCAAGGCAAGCTTGGTATGCTTCACCCATACCAAGCACTGTATACACTAACACAGATACTCAGACATCAGTACCTCATCTAGTCAGCAAACCACCCATACCACCAGTGCATTCAAGTCCAGCCAGTGATACACCTAGGACAACAAAGAGTCATCGACAAGATCAGATATCAGAGGAATGGTAAGACAGTGGCCCCAACATTATTTGACTGTCACTAATAGCTAAACTGCCTGCATACAAAGCTTGTGGCGATTCAATGAAAGAAGTGGACTTAACTCAAAAGGATTAGTTGTTCATTCAATTATTGACTCCCATTCAATATGCGTGGAATGTTGAACAGTTCTTTGTATTGTCTCTATATTTCTGTGGTCCTTGAATAAAGATTCCTAATGTTTCAAACGGAATCTGCAATTGTTTCCTGACATGAAATATTTACAAATATCCAGGCATTCAGGATTCCTCTTTACTATTATTAAACGCATGTCTATCTTTGAAACTAACAGCCAGAACATGCTTGGTTTCAGTAATTGACCTATCACCGTTTGTGAGTTGACCACGCCCCTTAGACATTTTGGAACACGAGCTGCATATGTACTTCTGTGTGCAATGCACCATACGCGCTAGTAGTAGTAGCATACAATGGCAAAACTAGTAGCATACAACGGCGCATTAAGTGCGCGCTCTCAAAGCAGTTGCTGCACACTCAACCGAAGTTGTCTCAGATTTCTGACATAACTTTTCATTTACCAGATGTTCTTCATAATGTGTATCAGAATTACACGTTCCCCACTGGCATCTGTTTGTATGTTTACAAGAAAATTCACGAAAACAACTACGGCTTGGCCAATGTGTTGTGAACAAGATAAGCGAATGGAAACGTGGCGCACAGCGCAAAGGAAGTTCTATTGCACGGTGAATAGAACTTCCATTGCACGGTGTCACTGCTGCTGGTGGTGGCGCTGTTTCAAATTGAGATCAATTGAATATGATTGTTTTCAACCTGTTGAACAGTTTGCATTTATATAAACTTGATGAACTTGTCGAACTTTTCAACAGTTTTAAAATGAATAAACTGGCTATTAAAAAAGGATTTATTCAGGTGTTATATAAAACAAATAATGAATGTTTCACGTTCGTGCAATGGAAAGAATAATTTCATTCGGTGACATATGAAATGTTCCATTCCACCCGGCTACGCCTCGTGGAATGCAACATTTCATCTGTCACCTCATGAAATTATTCTTACCATTGCACTCACAAACATTCATTATTTGTATAATATTCAACAGAAGCTGTGATTGGATAATGGTTGTGAACGACGATAGGTCAATTACCAACTGGAAATGAGGTATTTCCAATTATTGCGAGAAAAATCTTGATGTCCCTATGATGGAACAGTCAATAGATTATTCCAGTTACAAAGAGTTTGGTTAATTTAAATCAAATTTTAAAAAGCACTTTTTCATGGTAAATCAAGCTATTTTTCATATTTAATTTTTTTCTGTTTTGTTTTGTTTTTCTTATTTATTTGGCAGGGGCTTCAAAGATGCTGCAACAGCTGAGTTAATGATGAAGCGTGCTAAGAAGTTGTCCAAGGGAAGCAGTGTACACAAGAACAAAACACTCAGTAAGGAATGGAATATACATGTACTTGATGGAATCGTCATGAAGAAAGTGAAACATGCATTAAAATTACTAGAACCAGCAGTCATTTGATGTATTTCATTTTGTTGTATTTCATCTAGCTGTACACTTTATTCTATCCACATCATTCATCTGAAATCCCTTCTGTGTCATTTATCATCTTTGCCTTTGACAGATCCTCTGCAGAGATATCAACAGATGAAAAAAGTCCATGATTCTGCTAGAGTAGTTCCCTCCCCTAAAAGGGGAGTACAGAGACAGGAGTTCTTCCAAGGTATTGTGTGTCCAGATATGGGTTGAAGAGACATGCGAATAAGACAGAAGTCAATGGAATAATGTTAAAGATCAGTCCCCTTGCATTATTTGAATACATGTAAACTTCAAAACAAGTGAAAATCTGCCTTAACAAAGTGACTGATCTTTAAGTCAGTTACATTATTATATCATATACAATGAATATTCCAACAGTTTTCAGAGGTTAAGTTTCCAATACATGTACATACAAATTTAATCCAGGTTTTCTTGTGATGCATGCCATCGGTCCATGTATATGTTATTATCTTCAAATAGAAAAGTGAATCCTCGATCGTGATTGGTCGATCCACGGATCCTTAACACAAGGATAAACGACTCATCTAAGCTTGTTATACTGGTGTACAAAATGTACAGAACAAATTGTCTACATGCATGATATGCCGCGTCCGCGCATAGAAAAACGCATAGAACATGTACAGTAGAACAATGCTGGCACCTGACAGAAATTTGACCACCGAAAGACTGCAGTCACGCGCCGAGTCTTGCGCACGCACACGCACGATGCGCAGGTGCCATTTCACGCCTCTAACCAGAAATTTGGGGAAGTGGTTTATCCTTGTGTAGAGAATCCGTGGTCGATCCATGGCACGGCTTCGGGACACAGATGCACTACATTATTCCGTGTTCCACTCGCACTTGCGGGATAACTAACAATGTCTGTATCTTTGGATATTTAAATATTAATCTTGAATGCAGACAACCCAATAATGATATCTGATAGGAATGGGATCCTGTCAACTGTTTGAGTTATGCATGTTGCAAGAAAGATTACAATGACATCCAAAACTGTTGATTTTGCAGCTCGGGAACAGGAGATACAAAAGGCAATGACAGCGCAGAGAAAGGAGAAAGAACACAAAGAAGCAAGAACATTTGAGTGAGTTTCTTGATTCATGTTGAAGCTCACATCCTGATATGTGGTGAATGGGTTCATTAATACATTGATATATGTAATGAGTATACAATAGTAGCTAGAATTCAGACAGTTAATGATTTATTGCATAGTAAACATATTGGGGACCAGCCGACGTATTGTTGACTGGAATGTACAGTGAAATCTCGGTAAGTCAAACAAAGAATCCATTGCCTTCAATAGTATAACAATGATATACAACCCTGCTTAACTCAAAACTCTGCTGAAAGTCAAATTTTGAACCTGTTCCTTTGAGGTTTGACTTATCGAGATTTCACTGTATATTATATTTAGGGATGATGCAACTGAAACTCTGCATTTTGGCCTAGATTTCATTTTGTTTGTTTGTTTCTTAGGGTATTGGGGTGTTTGTGTATTTGTTTGTTTGTTTGTTTGTTTGTTTGTAAACTGCCAAGTGATATGGCAATCTTCTTGTATGTGTGAATCCATGCTGCAGTGGCATACTGGAGGACAGGCAACACCAGGGTTGTGTAGCCATTGTTTTCACTTGAGTTGAACATTACCTAGATTGCGCCTGATCATTCCCAGAACCTGTTGTGCCTTCTACATAGCAGCTGTAGTCTGGACATCTCAACTCATTGTATATTTTAAAGAACGGATCGTCACTGATTGCAGTTGCTGACCATAGAAGGTGTAGGTGATTGCAATGGATTGCTGGAGCAGATTGACATTTGAAAATACATTTTTCCAATGCTCAAACTTGTTCAGAACACTTTGGAGGGTTTAATATGTGACTATTAAAAAGACAATCATCTGCAAACAGCCTAGTAATGATGACGAGGAGGGCCTTTAATCGAGGCTTTGGTCCAATCTACATGTAGTATAGCCATGTCGACTGTATACTTTTCTTCCAGTGCATTGGTGATGTCATGAATAGTCGGACATCACCATGGACTCCAATAGTCTCCATGGACTGCGTTGCTCAGAAACCATGTTGGCAGTCGGTCAGTATCTGATGTGACTATGCAGGATGTGGGCAAGGAGTTTCAGACTACAGATATTAGCGATACTGATCTTTAGTTGGCTGCTTCTGCTCTGTCTCCGTTCCTAAAGAGGGCTGCAACATTATCCTTCTTTCAAGTTTCTCCCCTGTGATCTCCTAAATGGTGAAAGCATGAAATAGGCTGCTTTTGATGTCACTAAAATAAGCTTGCAACAGATGTTCAAAATAGCTTTTTACTTTGATTTTTTAACCAATAAGTTGCCATTATTTAGTTTTGTAGTTAAAGAATGTTTGCAATCAGCATTGGGTGAGACCAACATGGGCAGTCACCCCTGATGCAACCCAGAATGGGGGAAGCACAGGTGTCAGCCCTTGATATTGCTGTGATATTAAACAGATTGTAACATGGATAGTCATACATGTACTTCATCATTGTTTGAATACAGCTGGGTTCATAGTCATGCTGAAGTGCATAGTGACATGATGCAAGAGTGTGGCAGACACAGCAGCAGTGAGCCTAATCTACCTGCTATAAGTCCTAATGCATTACAAGGAAGAGTCCAACTCATGGTATGTAGGAATGGTTCAAATAATTAGGGAAGTCTTCCCAGGATTTTAACATTGCTAAATAGTACTACTCAGGGCATGGTAACAGTCAGGGTGTCAAACTCCAATTTTAGACCTTGTAGATCAATATTCCAGCAGGTACCAACTTTGCACCCTTGAGCATTTTTTTGTAAACAATTAATATGCAAATTAGCTTACATCATAAAGTAAAAGATAAATTCTGTATATATCTCTACAGGGTTTCGTCCAAATTGATCAATCGAGGTGCCTAGACCATATTTGGGGTAAACAAATTCTTTAAAGCTATTTTCAATGACTAATTTATCCATTCTCAAAAATAGAAATAACATATCTATTTTCTCTGCAAGACTTTGTCCAATTGTATCAAACGAGGTGTCTGAACCCATGTTTTGGGGGTGAACGAATTCATTGAAGCCAGTCCCACAATGATAATATAAATAATGTATGCATAATATGCAAATTATCATCCGCCATTAGCAAAAATACATTTTTTTTACATACATGTATCTGTGCAGAATATCCTTCAAACCTATCAAATGAGGTGTCCAGATTCATCTTTTAGAGTCAATGGTATTGTTTTTTCATAGTTTATTGGGATTTGTTTCCAGGCGACACCCCAAACATTCCCTTCCCCCATAAAAGCATGTCTTGAGTTCTTTTTGTTAATAAATGAAGACTGAAGATTATTTTTTTGGGGGGGGCCAACTTGATAACTTAAGGTCCGTTTTATTAACACGCATTCAGCATAGCAGTATGTCCCCCTAATTCAGATTAAAATAGGGTTTGGAGAGTGAATCTTGATGTAAGGCATCATTTATTTCCATACAAAATCTGACGGGGAACTGATGAACATTTGTGATTATTCACATTCTATTGTCAAACAAAATTGGTGTTCTTTAACATGATTAAACTGCTCATTATGCAGCCTTTGCGGTGGATAATTTAAGTTTCCTTCTGTCAGTGCGCGTTTCTTGTGTTTTAAATCAGAGGACATATAGGCCTACATGATTTCATACTGAAGCTATGGAAAGGCAATCAAATGATTCCTTATGATTTTGCTGGACCCCCATCCCCCCCCCCTGCAAAAATGTTGAACAGATGCTGTGTCCATAGATTTTATGGGGAAAAAACTCTGTAAAACATATTTCCCCAAAAATTTCCTCTAAATGTCAACGTTTTCTGAAGATCAGATTTTTAAAAATAGACACGATAGAACTACATTCTGCTCAGCACCCTCTGCCCACCCCCTTTCAATCACAACCACGTCAAAATAACCTACACGCAAGGGACGGGAACATGATGACAGACAGGTACTTCAAGTACTTTTTAAACCAAAAGGGCACTTTTAATCATATATGCATTTATTTTAATCAGGGCCAAACTGCACACCCAGGGTGAAGATTTTATACAAAGGGTGTTTTTTTTTTTTGGCACTAAAAGTATTTTTTATTTTTTTTAAATGGCATGATTAGGCGTTCGTACGTACATGTAGGTAACATATGTGGTGAAGAAATGTCTGTTTTGTGGTGTAGGCTAAATGTGTGTCTCCCAAAAATAGACCAAGATCTTTAGGAAACACTGTATTTAAAATAATGATGTAAGCTAATCTGTATATTTTTTGCATAAAATATATTACTTCTTTTCAGTGTGTAGGTACTTTTAATTTAATCAGTGACCCTGAAAATGTGGGTCTGGTTCGGCACCTCATTTGATAGTATTGGTATTGAGCAAAGTCATCAGGAGATATAGATAGAAGTTATATTTCTAATAAGGATGGAGCTATTTTGAATATTATGCATAAATTACACACATTATCATTGTCAAAATGGCTTTATTGAATTAGTTGCCCTAGAAACATGGGTTTAGACACCTCGTTTGATACGAGTGGACAAATTCCTGCAGAGAAAATAGATGTTATAACTATTTCTGGTAATTGTGGTTGCTATTTTGCATAATATGCATAAAATATATACATAATCATCGTAGAAAAGACTTTAATTTGTTTGTTTTTTAAATGCTCAAGGGTGCCAAGGTGTCACCCGTCGGAATGTTGATCTACAAGGTCCAAATAACAATAAAATGCAAACACATTTTGTGCGAACCCTAATTCACGCTTCCGCGGTCAACCCCCGGACTGTAGACACTGAAGTTTGTTGCATGTTATGAGTAAGTACTGAAATTCAACTGATTGTGCTACAAACGATTAAAAGCTAGGTCAGTACCAAAGACGACATGTAAACAGACCCACACATCCATACACATCCCTGTACTGATTGCAGTGGTGTAAACTAAGGTCAAACTTGTGGGAGGGCACCTGGGGGTGCACACATTTATCACGGGGGCACTGAAGGCAAATGGTGCATATTTTTGTTCAATTCCAGAGTTAAAATTACCCCCCCCCCCAAGTTACACCAATGACTGATTGTCAGAGCATACTGCCTCAAAATACACAGAAGAATTGTTTTCAAGACGTGCGTTTAGGGTAGTGTTGCTTTACAGTTAAAATCAGCAAAAAGTGGAAGAGTTAAAAGTGAATACACTGTGAATAAAAAGCTGTTGGGGAGAAGCATCCTTGATCCATGCTTTGTCACTGTCTTCATATGGTTTTACCAACTGAGGAATCACTTGGCTTTGCATAGTGATGGTGCAGTAGCTACAGGACCATACTGTAAACAGTAAATATGAAAATAATCAAACATTCATAAATACCTAAGACAGTTTACGCATTCCTATTGGTCGAGAGCCTGTCACGTGGCCGGTCTTAAACGGATGATAAAGACATGGCTAGCTGGTCTTAAACACTTTTCCAGTGTCACATGAAATTTGGACTCCCATGAAATCCGGTGCCTTTTAACGCTTCATTGACCTTGAACGTTCACATTCCCCACATATGCATGCGCAATACTGCCAGTGAATCATTATTTCATAGTCCGATATTCACACTACACCAGCCCAGCTGCGTTTTGTGCGACATCGCATAGTACGCGCGACCATGGAGGTGGAATGCGCGACGCGCACGCAATTGTGGAGGGGCATTCCATATTATAGTCGGAGGGGTGTTTCATAAAACATGAAGTAAAATTGTTGAACAAAATGGTTAACAACGTCTAGTTTTGTACTTGTTTTGATTTTTGGACCAAAAAGATTTTTTGGGGGGACCAAAAAGGTGTTTATGAATGGGAATAAATATGTGTTCCGTCGGTATTAAACACTCTGTTTAAAACCGGTGTGAGTTTGGATGGTTGATAATTACCCTCGGCTTGGCCTCGGGTAATTATCACCCATCCAGACTCACACCGGTTTTAAAAAGAGTGTTATAATACCTCCGAAACACACATTTATTCCTTTAATAATTATATATTGGGTGGCTTTGATGGGATACGGGAATTTATGTAACACCCAAGTAAATTCTTGTCATTTGATTGGAGGATTGTAGGTCACGCGGCATTCATTAATCAGACCATTGCATGGCCTACGTCATAACCGTGCAATTTTGGTTCCATTCATCATACAGTTTCACTCACTCCCTTTTGATCTATTGCCTGCACAGGCTAGATCAGTAGCGCCCATAGATATAGACGCAAAGAGGCGCAGTGGCGCTATACGACCACATCATGCATTTTGTTCAGCAGTACAAAACTTGCCTTTGAAGTGGATGCAGTTAGGAACTGAACTTGCTGATTTTTTTGGCATTGTTTTAAGAACTAACAATTGTAACTTTCATATTGTTAATGGTTTGACTTTAAAACCTTTGTTAGCCTTGAACAAACTGAAACAAAGTAGTGGAGATAATACAATTTTGTAAATGTTGTTTGTTTTGTAGTTTTATCCTTCAATGGAATGACAAAGATCTATAACAAATAATGAATATTTTTATTCGTTGAAAGATGGAATGTTCCATTCAACTCCGCATCGCCTTCTTGAATGGAACATTCCATCTTTCAGCTCATGAAATCATTCTCACCATTGCACTCATAAACATGCATTATTTGTATAATATTGCACAAATTAAAGACAAGTGTCATATTGTTTAGTGAGTGCAATATAATCTTTTATCTCCAAGCAAACTTGAATCCTCAATACTGATTGGTCCATCCATGGCAACAAACCGTGCTACGTTATCCCATGTAGCATGGTCCATACTACATACCGCGTATCACGCTATTCCAAGATGCATGCACTATTCCTTCTGCATGCACATGTCATAGGAAAACCGCTGGAAAGTTTGTGTACAGCGTGAGTGTTCCATCTTTTACTAAGGGAATAAATGTGTGTTTGTGTTTGTTAAACACTATATTTAAGACTGGTTGGAGTCTGGAATGCTGATAATTACCCGAGGCGAAGTCGAGGGTAATTATCAGCATCCAGACTCCAACCAGTCTTTAACATAGTGTCTAATACCGACCAAGCACATATTTATTCCCATTCATAAATACCTTTTCGGTCAAAAAATCTAAACTTTTCGGTCCAAAAGTCAAAACAAGTCAAAAATGAAAAATTTCCAATGAGTTTGTTGAACAATTTTACTTTCTGTTTTTCGAAACATCCCTCTAGCTATATAATGGAGTGTCCAGCTCGCGAGTAAGATGTAAACAATTCCTTTTTATGGAGATTGGCGCGCAGATGCAGCTGTGGTGAGTGCGTTGTGAATTTAGGACTTTGAAATACTGATTCACTGGTAGTATTTCGCATGCCTTCGTGAGGATTGTGAACTTTCAACCAATAAAACGGTAAAAGGCACTGGATTTCATGTGACACTGGAAAAATTTCATGTGACACTGGAAAAGTGTTTAAGGCTAGCCAGCCATGTCTTTATCATCCGTGTCAGACCGGCCACGTGATGGACTCTGGACCAATGGGAATGGATACACTGTCTTAGGTATTTATGAATGTGTGTTAAGTTTGCTTGAAGATATAAGTTATCCCACAATTTTTTTTACCTACGTGTGTGTATTATTATTTATATCAGGCTAATGACTTGATTCAAGCAAAATAAATGTAGCTTACCTAAGTAAATATTCCAAATCCATTTTTTCCAATTCAGCATCCTAATTTCCAAGTTCAAACATTCAAAATTCAGAAATGTTGAATCAGTTCAAAAGTTAAAAGCAAAATTTACATTACCTTGAGTGTGAAACTTACAATAATTTGGTGTTTTTTTGTAGGCGAGTCCTTTACTGGAGTTACAGTCAGTTGATGGTGCTAGTAGTGTAAGCAGTATGTCACACAGAGCAAGGAGCCAGTCATTGTCAGCACAATGTAAGTATGACATATGCTGGCGTTGGCTTTACATTGTGTACCTTCCGATCCATGTGACTTTATGCTTACTAAAGCCAGGTGCATACCTTTCCGATTTTACCGGTTCAATGGATCATCGGGCCATCGCACATCAAGCCATCATGTGCTGAAAATTCAGATGGATCTGACTGTATATCAGGCGACCAGATGAAATCAGACGTGTTTGATGATTTCACATCCGATTTCACCGGACACAAATATTTATCAGATTCACCAATATCAATCAGATACACGAAGGAAGCTACATGATTGTCATCATGTGACTGGTCATCATGTGACTGGTCATCATGTGACTGATCATCACGTGTCCAATTTTAGGACAGAATCGGGCATGTGTGCGGGTAACATTGCGGTCTAACCACAACGGTAAAAAAAAACATATTAGTGATGGGGTGATGCGGGAAACCCGGTAACATCGGAAAGGTGTGCACCTGGCTTAATAACATACAGGGTGAGTCCAAATAAGGGGAACCAAAACCTCAACAAATATATTTCATATTTTAAAAAATATGTAGCACCAAAAATGAAAAAAATATTTAGATGACAAAAATATTTAAATTGCTCAATCCATTCAAAATATATCACCATTTAAACACAATGACCCTAAAACCTCTTTCGTCCAAAAATGCGATTTCAAGAATCGTCATCACAGTTGTCTTCAAACATCACCAGCGATAAAACCTCAGTTTAAAAGTTAACAAAAAGTCAACAAAGTCCTTTTGAAGGCCCGTCTTTTGTAAAAAAAAATTAGATTTTATAAATCATTGTTTGCTTATTTTGTTTCCCTGCTTAAAGCAGAGTTGTTAATAAAGATATTGTGTACTACAGTTGTTGACAGTTGTTGAAACGTATTTTGTGTCATTTTCTTTGTTGTTCCAAACAGTCGGAACACACAATAAATTGCTCTTTTTTTTACGAAACAGGTTTTAGGGTCATTGCCTTTAAATGGTGCTATTCTTCGAACGGATTGAGCAATTTCAGTAATTGTTTTCATCTAAAAGTAGTGTCTAAAATTGGCTTTCCAGTCCTAATTATTTTTGGTGCTACATATTTTTTTAAATATGAAAAACAGTTTTTGGGGTTTGGGTTCCGCTTTTTTTGACTCACCCTGTAGTAAAGATACAAACAGGCAAGCACTTTACACCTAAAAGTACTGGCATTTCACTTCATTACTGTTCATTAACTGCAAGGGTTAATGCTCTACTACCATTCCAAAGATGTTTGCATCAATTCTGTAGTAACTTCATGATAGATGTGATATTTAACAATTGTTGACTGGTGTGATGTGGGATATGACGTTTTGAACACCCGAGGGGTGCATAGCACCCGAGGCCAAAAAGCCGAGGGTGCTATGCGCCCTGAGGGGGCTAAAAAGTCACATCCCACATCACAGCAGTCAACAATTGTTTGGATATACCTCTGTCTTGGATTCTTTGGATTTTGATGTAAAACTAACAAAAACAAATAGCGGTAAAAACACAACAATCATGACAATAGAATGGCAACTCACATGCATGTCGCGTACCGTGCTCAAAACAGCTGATCGTCTGCTAGTTCGCTGCTCCCACTCAAGTGTGCAAACATGGTGAAAATAGCGTGGGTACCAACGATACAAGCGTTTCACACCGTATACCAGTGTTGGAGCAAAGGCTTAAACCTTCAAGGCCAAGGCCAAGGCTTTGACCCTCAAGGCCAAGGCTTAGACCTTCAAGCCTCAAGGGCAAGGCTTAACCCTCAAGGCTAAGGCCAAGGCCAAGGCCCTGTTTTATAAAATGACCACTGATACAAAACTAATTAAAGTCACATGACACATCATCACGAATCGCCCATTAAGAAGAACAACATGTCTTAAATTGCAATCAACATGCTCGCATACACCGTTTTAGGACTACATTAGATCTATTAAAGTATAAGTTCAGGTCTTCAATATGGTTTAACTAAAACAAAATAAAGATTTACTTCTATATTGACGCACAATTCTCCGGAGTGTAACAAAAGGGGGATCCAAGAAACTGATTTGGGTAATTTTTATTTGCTGGGCAAACATGGTCAGAAATATCAGCATTATCTAAAACAGATACATGCAAATCTTTAGCACTTATCAGGGAGACATACAACCAATCAGATCTATTCCATAATTGTATGCAATTTAAGTGATCATCTCATTAGCCCCACAAGTGTACAGAATATTTTTTGCAGCAAATCTACTACAATGGTAGCAACATGTGATGCTATAAAATTGGAAGTGTGCCCAACACACAAATCTACAAGAACAAGGGATTTCCCTCCTCCATGGAAATACGATTAAAATGGTAACAGCAAAATTTCGAACAGATTTATCTGGAAAATGCAAAAATCTATGGGCCTTGAAGCAGTGTTGGAGCAAAGGCTTTAACCCTCAAGGCCAAGGCCAAGGCTTTGACCCTCAAGGCCAAGGCTTTGACCCTCGAGGCTAAGGCCAAGGCTTAACCCTCAAGGCCAAGGCCAAGGCTCTGTTTTATGAAATGACCACTGATATAGAACTAGTTATAGTCACATGAGTGACACATCATCACGCAAGGGCGGATCCAGAACACAATTTGAGGGGGGGGGGGCAAAGAAATGTTGGTCCCCCCCCAAAAAAAAGTGGGTCAAAAAATGCTTGGGCTTCGGGGCCTGCTTAAGGGCCCCGAAAAACTTTTGGATTCGAGATGCTCTGTGGTGCGATTTGAGGCAATTTCTGACCATTTTAACCGATGTTTTTTTAGGAAAAGATGGTGGTGTACTCATTGCCTGCCTTTATTACGACGTCACATAAACAAAAATGGTTTCGGTTTTTTTTGGGGGGGGGGGCATGGCCCCTTTTGGTCCCCCTGGATCCGCCCTTATCATCACGAATCGCTCGTTACGAAGAACAACATTTCTTTAATTGCAATCAACATGCTCGCATAGGCCTACACCATTTTATGACTGCACTGTATCTATTAAAGTATAAGTTCAGGTCTTCAATATGGTTTAACTAAACAAAATGATGATTTACTTCTATATTGACACACAATTCTCCCAAGTGTAACAAAAGGGGGATCCAAGAAACTGATTTGGGAATTTTTTATTTGCTGGCCCAACATGGTCAGAAATATCAGCATTATCTAAAACAGATACATGTACATGCAAATCTTTAGCACTTATCAAGGAGACATATACAACCAATCAGATCTATTCCATAGTTATATGCAATTAAAGTGATCATCTCATTAGCCCCACAAGTGTACGGAATATTTTTGCAGCAAATCTACAACGGCAACAAAATGTGATGCTACAAAAGTGGAAGTGTGCCCAACACACAAATCTATAGGGTGCTTCCCTCCTCCATGGTAATACAATTAAAATGGTAACAGCAAAATTTCGAACAGTTTTATCTGGAAAATGCAAAAATCTATGGGCCTTGAAGAGCCTTGACTCAAAATTGCAAGGCAATGATCCCTCAAGGCCAGGGCCAAGGCTTTTGCCCTCGAGCCTCGAGGCAAAGGCCCTAAAGTCCAGCCTTAAGGCAGCCTTAAGGCCAAGGCCCAGCATCAAGGCACTACATCACTGCCTTGAAGAGCCTTGACTCAAAATTGCAAGGCCGTGATCCCTCAAGGCCAAGGCTTTTGCCCTCAAGCCTCGAGGCCCTTAAATCCAGCCTTAAGGCAGCCTTAAGGCCAAGGCCCAGCATCAAGGCACTACATCACTGCCGTATACGTACCCTAAGTCATAGCACACTCCTGCCTCACGTACGTGATATCCCACGGGTAGTGTGCCATGACTTTTTATAAACTTAACAGGTGATCATTCTAGGCCAATGAAAAAACAGTATTCAAGACAGAGGTATAACAAACATGTACATGATATGATGATTTGATTGATTTCCAGCACATGAAGAACTTCGCTTACCAGCAATAAAGACCAATTCAGCTCCAAGTGGAAGAAGCCGTGAGAGGCCAGCAGTAGGCGGTAACAGGAACCAGTCTAGAGGATGGACCAGTAAACGATGATGTCTACATGCTGACATTGGTCAGGAACCAGTCTAGAGGATGGACCAGTAAACGATGATGTCAACATGCCGACATTGGTCAGGAACCAGCCTAGAGGATGGACCAGTAAACGATGATGTCAACATGCTGACATTGGTCAGGAACCAGTCTAGAGGATGGACCAGTAAACGATGATGTCTACATGCTGACATTGGTCAGGAACCAGCCTAGAGGATGGACCAGTAAACGATGATGTCAACATGCTGACATTGGTCAGGAACCAGTCTAGAGGATGGACCAGTAAACGATGATGTCTACATGCTGACATTGGTCAGGAACCAGCCTAGAGGATGGACCAGTAAACGATGATGTCAACATGCTGACATTGGTCAGGAACCAGCCTAGAGGGTGGACCAGTAAACGATGATGTCAACATGCTGATATTGGTCAGGAACCAGCCTAGAGGATGGACCAGTAAACAATGATGTCAACATGCTGATATTGGTCAGGAACCAGCCTAGAGGATGGACCAGTAAACGATGATGTCAACACGATGACATTGGTCAAACTGTGTCAATTTACGGAGCAGTTCCCTCCTTAAAAGGAACTTGAAGCTCTTTCTAGAAGTTGATGTGTTAATCTCTCTACCTCAGACACCCCAGGTTGCATGTAGTAACCAGGTGCCAAAGCACTGCATGTAATAACATTTTATTTTTGGTGATGCAATTGTAAATATTTTCGTGCAGACATGGGCAAGTTCGCGCAAGGACTATAGTTAACCATTGGTCGACTAACGCTTGCCCGAACTCTGTCTAGTCGACGATGGTTGACTACTCTAGTCGACTATTTGGAACCAGCCTACTGGGGTTGGTTGCTTCGCTGGTAACCATAGCCGCGCGCATTCATAACGCTAGCAGGGAGCCAGGATCCAGAAGTTTTGCGATGCCATTTTGACTAGCGTTTGACTAGAGACGTTCGCACGTTGCTATCAGTGCGCAGGCGTAAGGTACGTCACAAATCAACCACTAGTCGACTAATGGTCCTTGCCCGAACTTGGCCCATGTGGGGCTCATTGCATCATTGTTAACAAAATCATCTCTCTTTTTGCATTTCCCTTTTGAAAAATGGCAAAGAAATTTCTTCCTTTGATATTTGATAATTAGAACATCTTTTGGTTCATGTCAGTGGTCTGTCTGCAATGTAAACAAGCCAATTATCACTGTGCAATAGGACATTGATGTCATGAAGGTACACTCTTGATCTGATGTGGTAGACATGACTGACTGGAGAGTTTGTATGCACATTGAGTGACAGTTGCCATCTGATGAAATGGGATTTATTCATTGCTTCATCAGTTCATGTGAAAATATAAGTTTGCTATCAATATGCCTAGGTTGTTATGTTCATTCTGTGACACTCAGCTGTCATTGCTTGTTGTATTTTACCAAAATGAAATGTGATCAGCATTAAATTAAATAAAACACATAATTCCAATCTTTATATATTTACATATTTTATTAATACAATTGTGGATTTACACAAACTTCCATAAACATGCCTTTGTTAAAGTGCAATAAAATATAAGAACTATTATAATACTTTCAGTGACTGACATCCACAGTGAGTACATAATAAGGCAAGTTTTGTACTTAGCTTAAAAAAGTTGAATGTTTCTCATTTTTGTTTGCAATGGTTCCCGCAGAGGGGAAAAGATGTAGGCATTGATATTTTCAATTTTTTTTTTTTTTCCTGTTCAAAATTTCGTACCGTGCTTTGAGCGCTTGCTTGGTTGTGTGTGCTATATTATTAACTTTCCAATAAGAACTGCATATATTAAGTTTTTTATGATCGACAACAATGCCATCAGCCTACGTTTGCTTGCTCCTTCAGTGTTATGGAAAGTATTAACATGAAGTTCATGTGTTGCAAATGGTCCAAGTCTTGGCCATTTATACAGGCCTCTCTGTAACTGTTTGCATATACAGTGGAGAAGAAAGTACATTACTATTGAGACAGATTGTGCAAAATATCAAAAATGAGAAACAATTCTTTTCTAAGTTGGTCCACATTTGTTTATCAATATACAAATATATGTGACAGTCCTGTTGACCTTTGCTTTCTTACTGTGCATAAAGATATTGTAAATCGAAATATGGATGAATATTGTGACTACATCAAACACTTAGGAACCTTACAAAAATACAGACCCATGGTATGACATGAATCCTATGTAGTGGGAGCTAATTTGTTGCACTGTAAAAGACTTTAATTTGAACAAATCCAAAATTGTAAGGTGATAAAACTAATTGACCAGGTGTGCCAAAATATACCCTTCCTTCCGGTCCAAACCGGAAGTGCCTTATAATTTGTTATATCTCATGAACGGTAAGTCCGATTGGGTTGAAACTTGGTATGTAGGTAGGCCGGGATGTGTTATAGACGAAAATTGAGGTGACATCATCATGACGTCATCGTGTGATTTTATATACATTTTTGAAATTTTGGACCTTTAAGCCATATCTCACGAATGCAATATGTTAAATTCAAAATTCTTTTTGCATTAGTTTTGTTAGGCAATAGGTATATGTACAAAAATTTTTAAATGTGTGACGTCATGATGACGTCATCAAAAATGCGTTTTCGAAACACATATAAGGGAATGTACGATCGTCATGAAACTTGGTGGGTGGGTAGATAATAACACTTGTACACAAAATCTTGAATGACGTCACGATGACGTCATCGGTAGATTTTGACAATTTTTTTGATATTGCCAATTTTATTTTGCTTACAATATTCAACACTTTTATTAATCCGATTGTTTTCATTCTTGGTATAGACTAAAACCACAATAAAATAATGAGCACTGCCAAGTATTGTTACAATGACGTCATCATTAGACATGTGACGTCATCGTTAACTTGTATATTTTAAGCCCCTATATCTCATGAACAGTAAGTCCGATTGGGTTGAAACTTGGTATGGGGGTAGGCCGGGATGTGTCATTTTGTGATTATATATATATTAGAAAATTTTGAAGACTTTTGCCGTATCTCACAAACGCAATATGTGAAAATCAAAATTCTTTTTGCAATTAGGTTTGTTAGACAAAAGGCAAATGCACACTGTTTTGCACAAAACAGAAAAAAAATTACCTCAATTTAAAAAAACATAATGCGGAAAAGCCATATGTTCTGTTGGAAACAGACATAGACCTCTAGTTATTATTTTTTTCCCTTTATTTTTTATTCTAACCCAAATCCCATAGACTTTGTACATGTTTTATTAACCATGCCACTTTTGACCTAAAACCAACTCGTATTCTGATGAAACTTACCCTGTATAACGACCCCACAGTGAGCTTGTGTCCCGAAGAATGACGTCATGATTACGTCATCATGGGTCACGTGACGTCAAATTAAACATGCAGACTTTGAGACCATACATCTAAAGAACTGTAAGTCCGATTGGGTTGAAACTCGGTATGTTGGTAGGCCAGGATGTGTTATAGGTAAAAATTGAGGTGACGTCATCATGACGTCATCGTGTGATTTTATATCGATTTTTGAAGTTTTGGACCTCTAAGCCATATTTCACGAACGCAATATGCTAAATTCAAAATTCTTTTTGTATTATGTTTGCTAGATAACAGGTATATTCACAAAATTGTGAAAATTGTGTGACGTAATTATGACGTCATCAAAAATGTGATTTTTTAAAACACATATAACTATAAGGGAATGTCGAATCGTCATGAAACTTGGTGGTTGGGTAGATAATAGTACTAGTACACAAAAGCTGAAATGACGTCGCGATGACGTCGTCAGTAGATTTTTAACGATTTTTAAAAAATATTTACAATTTTATTCTGCTTACAAAATTAAACACTTTTACTCATCCGATTGGCTTCAAACATGCTAAATCCAAATTCTTTTTGTATTAGGTTTGTTATGTAATAGGTATCTGCACAATTGTGAAAAATGTGTGACGTCACGATGATGTCATCAAAAACGCGATTTTTAAAAACACTTATAAGGGGAAGTCCGATTGTCTTGAAACTTGGTGGGTAGGTAGATAGTGTTAATAGTATGCAAAATCGGAGGTGACGTCATGATGACGGCATAACCTTTTTTTAAATTAATTTATCAACTTTTTTACATTTTCTTCTTATACAAAAATTTGACAAAGTATTTTTCTAAAAGTATTTCTTTACACGTATTATTTTAAAAATGCCTGTGTCCTGTTCATCTAACAGGCATAGCTCTAGTTCCATTGTTTAAATTGAGCATGCGCGGTTTAGCTTAAACATGACGTGAACAATTTAAAAGGACCGGTGTGTTTGCTGCCACCAACGTCTCAAAAGTCTCCCATTATCTTATCAATGGAAATACAGGTATCTGCAATGCTGTTTATCTATTTACAGTTGGATTAAGAAACCCTGTCACGACACATGGTCATATAACTCATGGTAATATGCAACTTGTGTCTTGAATTACTGTTGTGCCAACACAAACAAAATAATATTTCCAACTAAATTTATACATCAACTAAATAGTTTACATCACAATGCATGCTTCAGCTAGCCAGAGTTGGAACTCAGTCCATCCATTTGTGTCGACTGTTATGTTGCCATACCAGGTGCTTGTGTGTTGCAAGACACTTTCATCTTTAGGATGCACTGCTTGAGTTCTTGATGTGTACATTTTTTTGCCGATGCATGTCATTGTAAACTCAAGACAATTTGATCAGTTTGTACAAACAAATGAACACTCCTCCCTTTTGTGGGCCAATCAGCTGCCAAAGCACAGATGTCAAAATGTTGCACATTTGTCATGTTTGCCAATACTTTTTCTAGTAGTATGCACACACTGATCACAGATAAGTTGTTTACAATGTTCACATGAAAAAAACATTAAACCTGTCTCTATCAAAACCAATTTATGGAATTAAACTCGGTATTTTGCATTTATAAAAACCATTTCTTGATTTAAAAAAAAATTCTTGATTACATCTTCTTCCCCCAACAAGAGCTTTAACTCACACTTTGCTTCCCCCTTCTTACAATTCATCTCAGTTGCACGTAATGTAACAGTTTATTTTATCTTTTTTGTTATTGAAAATGGCTTTTTTGTGTGCTAAAGAACTAGTATTAGTATTATATAGTTTCCTTGATAATAGCATGGTGGTTGGTTTGTGCATGACATTGGTGTATACTGCCTTGTCAAGCATAACGCTGCAAGGCTTCAATAACTACTACTACCTATATCAATACCTACACTCATAATGTCATATTGTGCAATGGCAACACATTTTCATCATTTTCTGTGCATTAGCATTCATGCATAATATATAAAATAGTATGTTCTAAGTGCTTATGTTCTTTGTGTGGTTAGACTCTAGTTCTTTCTACTGTGATTACATATAGGGCAGACTTGAGGGTCTTTGCTCTGTCAGCATAACACACAGGATCAGTACAAGTAGGTTACTGCCTTCTGGAGTTGAAGGATGACCCTATTCAGTATGTATCATTGCATACAACAGTCTAGCAAATGGCATATGTAAATGTTCGGTAACAAGTGCCACCAAAAAAAAGTACTTTGAAAAGTTGTTGGGTATTTAAGAAGCAGTAATGAATGGAAAGAGAGGTATCTTGTATCCACAATCAGCTTTTAAAAGTCAATTCTACACAATGATTTCCTTCAAATTGGGGACAATTCAAAGCGGTGGCTTTGTATAGACCATGTTACATTTGTTTACAAATTGGATGTCGTCATGGTTGTGGCACGCGATGCCAACTTCCAGCACACTGTTCTCTTCTTCACTGCACGTGTATCTCTTGAAATGTGATTGGTGTTAAAGTGGTGACATATTACCTGTTTATTATTGTGGGCAAAATAACATGCACCAGATGCTGAAATGTTTGGATTGCCTGTTAGTTGCCCATTGGTATGAAGTCACAGGTGACATAGTCTATGGGCTCCGTGCGCCGACAAAGAGGGCGCCCTTTTACCCAGCAACGACGTCCCATGGGCAGGACGTTTCGATGGTTGACGCGCACCATTCCTTGTGTGTGACGCACGTACCCCAGGGGATTTGTACTAAGCACACGCAGTGGCTGTGCCGCGCGGCAATGAATTGCAGTCACTGGCAAGATGGCATCGGTCTGTCACCCCCAACTGTACTTGCTTTGCCGGTGAGGGGGTACTTGTGAACGGAGCGGATACAAAGTAAGAGTGGGGAAATTTCTCCAAGGGTTTGGAGACAGTAGGAATGATTTTGTGTGTGTGTTACATGCTGTGCAGATAATTCAATCCTCATATGAAAGGCCATTTTATGTATCATTCTACATATTTATGGTCCAACTTGTGACATTTTTCTCTCTGTTACTTCTGAACTTTGTAATTAGCCATTCAAATGTCATTAAAAATGACTTCCAACTATTTTGTGGGTAAGTTGCTTATTTCACATAATCCCTCTTAACCAGTTCGCGCCGGGATTATTTTGACATTGACCGGACCCAGACCCGGATTTGTTTTTCACGAACCTCGATGCCAGACGGGTTCAGGCCGGCATCTGCTGGTTGAACACCGGGATATTTCCGGCCTCACTCATTGCATGTTATATCCGTCATCCATTCCGAATACCGCAAAACCTTTGCGTGTATACAAGTCATCCGACGTGAACTGGTTAAGAGAGAGAGTACATTTAAGAGTGCATCCAGAAGTATAGAAGTATAGGTGCAACAGGGACAGGAAAAGAGTGGACTCCACATTTACAGAATGAACATCATCAAATCAAATGGAATTCCATAATAAACTTGTAAAGTAACTCTTCAAACATATTACCTAAGAAAAATTGAGTCAGATCTTAACAAAAGGAACCTTTAATATATCAAATAAATCTATTTCTATTCCAAATCACAGCACCATGAGTACAACATGAACAATCACAATATGTATTATCAAAGGATGCTTCACTTAATACATAACATCTGGGTTCTTTCTTCGAAACTCATCGTGTGATTTCATCTTCTGAATGTGTCCAATTACAATGTATTACTAGCCTCAATATAGAAATGTGTCTATGCTGAGGAAAGTAACACAATGCACATATACAGGAAAATATCAATGCACACAGGAGGAATAATAGGGAAGAGATGTTGGTAAAGACGGTGTTGTACATGTTGATCTCATATTGCAGTGATAAGGGGCAAATGTCTAAAGTAACGCACATACAGCAGAATTACTTCTACATGTATGATTGGAAATTCTATAATCTTAAATAAAAAAAAACTTACTTATTTCTTTGAAATAAATAAAAATACAAATTACCATACATCAAGTTCTAACAAATACGTACTTGACTGAAGTTATACTGATCATCTTCAACCTTTTTGAGGTAACATAAAATTGTACCTTGATCCTTGCTTAATCATTCTTATCCGTTGTTGACATGTCATACGTAATCATCTTCGGTTTCCATAACCACTTCACACTGAATCCAGATAGGATGGCATAGAAGTACAGGCTGATTGTGATAGCCATGAGAAGAACTAGCAGCACCAGAACACTGGAGAAATTGAAGGCTAAACTGCCATACAATGTGCACATCATCACTGTAATCAATGAACAGACAAACGTGGAATGAGTACTAGACATTGTAGACATTGTATGTACCATGAATAATTACAGTATGTACACTCAGATTCGGTAGTCAGTCCAGTCATTACGAGAGACAGGCACTTACTCCTCAAGTGCTCAATGTTTATTATGCACATATATGCCATTCTTCATGATGACATCTACAATTGTGTAAGTGTACTTGTCAATTTGTCAAGTATGCAGGAAGTCATTTGACAAGTTCAATCACCAAATCAATGACAATGCTTCATACACTAACGTAGCTTTTACTTTAGTTTCAATATATTTCATGATTTTATTTGCATTACACGATAACAATCTGGAAAAATCAAGACTGTTGGCTGTTGCATGATTATAAAATATAAAGTTCTAAAATGCAGACTTTAGTTTGGGCAATACCTGAATATTCTGGTGATAAGGCCAACAGTACCAATACAGCATGATGGTGGGAGTTCAAGTGGCCATATTTGTTGTTTGACCAACACTGTTACATTCACACCTCGTACAACCATTTATGCTAGCTGTGCTTCATTTTGTACAGCAAGCAAAATGACAAATGGTGCTCATGTGAAGTCAAGGGTGTCTTTTGCCCTCAATTGTTTTTCATATACCATGAAGTGGCAAGACCAAGCCAAACTGGGATACTTTCCAGTGCCTTATTTTCCCAAGGAGACTGCAGAAATCATACAAAGTCAAATTCACAACATACTTCCTATCACAGGAGCAACCTATCAAGTATTATTTGCTCGGTAATTCATTCAACAAATTTCAGTTTTTCAGTCTTGATAGTGGTTTTCTAAACTGAGACTCTTATGTCAGCATCCATGCTGTCATTCTGAAATTCAGAACTCTCAGTGGAGATGTAACTCTCCCAATTTATCCTCAAGCACCATAGTTGTGGGAGATACCAGAAATTTCAAAATCCGGTTATCTTAATTTTTTTCGAACCAAATAACGTTATCCCACTCAGCTCAGTATCAGTCCATATGGTTAACCATGTAAACGTGTCCTAACTGCAGCTGTAATGCAGTACCAATAAAAAACAACATATGCTGCTGGCACAGCTGTCACATGTACATGATGTAGGTTACAATGCTGAATTTCTGGCCAACTCTCAAAGGTCACCAGTGGGTCAAGATTCTGCCAATATGACTACAGACATGTAGTATGTCAAATGTTTCTCTACTGTCTATCATTCGTGCTAATAATGCATAAAATTATCTGCTGGCAGTTGAAAATATTTCTATTATCGTATCCAAATGATAACATAAAAATGATATCATTATCAGCGTTGATATATTGCTTCTTTTATCAAAATGTAATCAATTAGGTTTTGGAATATGGTATCCACTCTACTTAATTCAATTATGGTAATTGATTCCACACTCACATAACTGAAATAACTGCAATGACTGAAATACATGTACCAACAACGATACATGATACTGTACATTTCAATTTCCCCTGTGTTCTACTCAGCAAAACACTAGTGTTGAGAATAATACATCTTACAGATGTTGAAATGAACTGATGAGGCACACAATACAAACTGTAGCATTGTTTTGTTGCAGCAGAGGGCTTGCATATTTGAGACAACTCATGTAGCAGGCAACACGAGTGAGATAATATAAACTTGACAAGACACTCTTGGATTTAAGGTTCCTGACTAGTCCCCGTGATTTCAAGATAATAGAGAGGTTAAGTTAAGCGTTTTGACTGAACGCGTACGGTAAGCCGTTCGAGGACGCGATGAATAGTTTAAGTTGTCCGAGCCCCTGCTGATGTACGTGTTCGTACTATGGTTGGAACAAACCACGGGAACAACTATGGCAGCGAGTGACGACGATACTGCCTTTGCGTATTTGTTAAGTGAGGAATTAACTGATGCCGATGTAGTACAGGCAAAATACTTCATTTTTTGAGTGAACCTCAAACAAATTGCAACAGATTTTTTTTCACCACAGTGCATTTCTATAAGGTCCTTAAAATGACATACTAAAAGTCTTTAAAAATCCAGGTGGTGGAAATATGCTTAATTTGCATAAATCCAAGATGGCCGCATATTTTTTACGTATGCCAACTTTGAGATGAGCCAAAAACCAAACAAAAAATATAGTACCCACTTTTTTGATATTTTGTATAGAACATGTTTGGGTTTAATTTTCATCCAAGTTGGTCGGGTGATCCACTAGGTCAAATTCAAGTTCAAAATAAAGGTCAAAATGTCATTATACTTCAAATAATCCCGACATGAAATTAATGGTAAATTTGGATTTCTCATGATGTAACCTTTCAAAAGAAATCAAGATTAACAAATTTGGCTCACAGATTATAGATATATGGTCATTTAAAAAATGGCAGCAATGTCCATTTTGACCAAAATTGCCTGGGCGGTAGCGCGAAAACCGTTTGTCCAATGGCGCTAAAACTAAATATGAACCAATTTGTAAAGGAAAAAAAGGTAAAAGTTTTGGGTGTGATTTGACACTGAATGACCCCAATGTCAAATGACAAAATGTTGTTTAAAGTACCCCGAAGAGCAACTTAGGACGAGAGTTATTACTAGATAGTTAAATATGTCGTATTTTTGACCATTGCATTTTTCTTTGCTAAAGAAGGAATTGTTCTCATATTGGGATAGAGTTTACCATCCTAAACTGGAAATCCATTGGTAACATTTTTTCTATCTACCATGTGGCGGTCATCTTGGCATTCAAAATGGCCACCATTTCGGGCCTAATTTTATCTAACTTCGGACCTGATTGTCATATGAAGTTCATTTTGGTGGCAAACCCCATGTTTTTGATACCAAGGAACCCGAGAAAATCATTGTTGATGGGGTATACTCACTGATCTCTATATAAAGACTGGATAGCGGATATGCATACAACATTCACACAGTAGACTTTGCATATTGACCAATTCGCCCCCGGCATCACGAAGATGGCCGCGTATAATACGAACGTTCTACGCGTAAATACGCGCGCGTTGTATCAACAGTTGACGCGCATTTTGATCACGTACACATTAGATGTTCTAAAAGGGACACATTTCCGTAGTGATTATTATTTCAAAACGCCGAAAAAGTTATATTTGCGGCATTTTAGTAACCACGACGTTAGAAAAATTGTAGTTAACCTTGGTCAGTGATGGTGGTCAAAATATAAGTCAAGTGAACCGCGACGTTACAAAAGAAATCATGCTGTCTATAAAGACGGCAACTTGTCCTTTGTAGATCACCAGCCGGTCTCACCAATATGGCGTCATATTCGTACATTGTGCGGCTCTTTATTAGCTATCCAGTCTTTATATAGAGATCAGTAGGTATACTCCCAGTGGAGTACTAGACCCCATCAACAATGATTAACTTGGGTTCCTTGGTATCAAGAACATGCAGTTTGCCACCAAAATGGACTTCATGCGACATTCAGGTGCCACCTTATTATTTAAATGAAATCCAAGATGGCCGCTATTTTTGAATATCCAATATGGCTGCCATCCATTTGGGATGCCTAAATGTGTTAATTGGATTCCTTGGATTCTGTGGGCAAAACGTACGAAGTTGCGGTTCTGATGACCAACTGCCACACATGCCTCTGTGGTTCCCAGATTTCAGATTACTTTGGTGTCAGGCCCCCACGGCTGGAAGAGTATTTGGCGTAATGTTATGATTGAGTAAATTACAACAGCATTTGAAAGATGATTATTAGACACACAGGCTTTAACTAAAAGTCGTTAGCTCAAAATGTTTTATTAAATTCTTCTGTCACATGAATACGGCAAGAATCCGGGGTTTACAGTGCGTTTGTGGTAATAGCTACAATAATTTACAATAAATACAAAGCCATTCAACTTCAAAACTGTTTGCAAAATAATACACTCTTATTATTTCAATATTGAAGCCCAAATAAAATATGTTAATAAACCAGACAAGGTTTTTGCCACCTCGATATCTACATGTATAGCCTAATTACTTTAGAAGTTGCCTCCTCATGAATTCCATTATCATCTTTCTTTCCTCACTTTCCGCTTCCATTTTCTTTTCCCTTTTTTTCTCTCTAGCTCAAACTTTTCTTTCTCAAATGCGAGTTGTTCACTCTTCAATTTGATCTCCTGCTCCTTCAGTGACATTTCTTTCTCTGCCTTCGACTTAAGAAACATCATCAGATCTGAGGACGACGAAGATCTCCTTGCTTTCTGGGGTGTGACATTGTTGTCAGAATCAGAGTCACTAATCTGGCTTTCATCGGCTATAGGTAACAAATGAAATGAAATGAAATAAAAAAAGCATTATGCAGCAGTTTTAACAACTAGAATTTCAACAATGTTATATTCAAAGCTCTTAACTCACTTTCAGTTATAACTCTCTCTGTAATCATTACGCACAATGAAGTGGACTTGAGCGATTTCATGAGAAGAAATATCGGTTAGCACCTCTTCAGCGCCTCTGCATCTTCTTTCTTGTAGTAGGTCAATAAAAGGGATGTTCTTTCCCTGCAGCGTCGCCCACTCAGACCCTGGAGTTCTGTTGCGTCTGCAATTTCATCCCATTGCTTTCCAGGTTCAGCAGAGGAGTATGGATCATTAGCCATGACCTCTCGCAACCTCTCGCAACAAGATTATGTCGTCATTGGCCGAAAATCGTAATGGCTTTTTTTTTGCTCCGTCCATAGTAGTAGGCTTTATCTTTTCTGTTGGAAAGTAAACTATCGAGAATAAGATTATAGCTTTACCAAACCAAAGAATAACGAAACTGAGAGCAATCTGAGCCAAGCAAAGCATGCACATCACTGATTCAATTCACTTTAATTCATTCAAACTCACATTAATTTCCATTCCAAATAAAAAATACAGGCAGAGAATACAAGAATGAGTAAATAGATTTGTTGAAAAGATGTAATGAGGTATGGAGGCATCTTTTGTTCGACCAAGATAGAACCGAAGTACACGTATCAGGAAACGTACAAATCATCTAGAAACGTACATATATGAAGAAAAAAAAGTGAAAAACCAAATGAGAAGCAAACTATATGTCAGATGCTTGGAGATGGATGTTTGATCAACCCACAGATGAGAGTGATTTAATGGATTCGTCATCAATTGCATTCCAGAAACTAAGTGTTTTTAATGACTACGATGTGCGAGTGTATGGTACAGTCATAAAGATGTAATTACACGAACTGGTTGGGATACGTGAAATTCTTCATAGGCCTTCATGTAATAGGATTCATGCTTGTTTAACAATCACAGTGTTCCGGCCAAGCAACACGATCACCATCAAAACACACACATAAAACATACCTTTTTCAATGAGGTTAAAAAGATTGTCATTTCATTTCAAATGATACTTTTTTCTCATGAATGTGACAACGAATGAATTAACTTGCGAGAAAACTTCGTTATAACTTATTATACATGGAATGTGCCTTAAAAAAGGGAGGTTTTCCTTACCTTTCTACACGTTTTTACGAACGGCAGAACCAGTATTTTGGCATTGCGAACGGCAAGCTAGCAGTTGTACGTGTGTTGCAAACGCAAATTTTTGTGACGTTCACGCGCGTATCCATGACGCAACGCGGGCCGTAGGCGTACGCATTCTTGCGAGAACGCGTAACTTTACCTCTCTAATGATTAATTAGGAACTGCAATATTAGGGTTGGATAGCTCAGTTGAAAGAATGCCGATCATGCGACGTTCCCAATTAATTTCTCTTCTCAAATTATTATCCGATTACACTACTACAGGGGATTTTAAAGTTTAAATATGTAGTCTCTGCCATCTAATTATGTCATCTGTTATGATCTTCAAAACTGTTCTATAAATCAATCTTTTACTTACACAATACCTTTTACCGAGGGTTCAGTTTTATAGTTTAATAATCTCCCAATAAAAATAAGGCGATGTTTTTTCATTGATAGCCATTAGCAACATGACATGCTTTGCAGAGATGCCAAGATAAAGCATAGAGTGTGACAGTGCCAATGGCCAAGGCCGTCACAATGTAACCTCGGCTGGCCCCAGGGACGAGGGTGTCTCTTGTGGTCGATGGTGTTGGGGTTTGTTTTTGTGACCATAATCAGAAACATGTTTGACTGAACCACAACTGTCATTCATGCAGAACCACGCTGGCGTGGCACTATACGATCTTTGCGCAGAACCGAAGTCGCCAAAACGCTTAACCCAAACACGAAAACAACCCCCACTTTATATTTTTAGAACAATTTTGCATTAGGCATGTGATAACAATTGTCTGGTGTGTGAGCGTGTGAATTGACTCTGAGGCGTGTGACAGACGTCGGAAGCACGACACTAGGTAGGTCTGGCTTTGCCTCAAATGAATGACTTGATCCTAAACCATTTGCACTTTGAGTTCATGTATTTACCTGCAACTTGGATGGACAGATACAAGACTTGTGAAAGCAATGTCCATCTGATGATGTATCTACTGACTGACTTGACAGCACTCCAAAACAACAACCCCAGACCTGTACAATCAAACAAATCAGTCAATCTACTGATACGTACCAGCTACTTGTCTAGTTTGATACCATAAGCATAGTCAATTTGATAGGTCCACTTGCAGACCTCTGTTTGCACATGAAATTCAACCAATTTTCAACTTCTAGTAATTTAGAAATGGTTTAACAGCTTTGCTTCCACAACAAAACCCACTTCTAGTCTATCAGATTACAAGCGTGAACAGATCTCAATTGATTCATGTGTAATGCATGTACTTACACATATTTTAGAACTGGGAAAAAGATACCGAGAATTATTGTTGAAAAAAATATAATTTTGAAACAATGATCACTTACAAGTTCCATGCAACAACTTCAAATGGGTGTAAGACAATTTTCCTAAACACCTTAAACTAGGAACAGGTCAAACAGATGTCTTGCCGTATGGGCTTACAGTAAGGATGGGGGAGTTGAGGGAAATCACGTGGACTGACATTCAAACTGCCGATGCCACCTTATGCTCACACGAAGATGCAATGACTTTGTGCACAATCAGAATACAATATTAGTTTTGTGTACTGCACACTGTACCTGGGCAAACCAGTACGTACCAACCTTGCCATCCTGTGAACAAAACAGGTCCACAAGATGCAGGTTGTGTGAACCTTCTGTGGACCACGGATCCTCTACACAAGGATAAACGACTTCCACAATTTCTGGTTAGAGGCATGATAAAGGCCTGTGCGCATAGAACATACAATGCGCGTGCATGAGCCTAGAGTTGGCACGCAACTACATGTAGCAGTTGAATTTCTGTCAAGTCTCCCATGATTGGGTTTCATGTGGGGCGCGCGCGCCGAGTCTCGCACACACGCACGCATTGTATGTGATATACGCGCACAGGCCTTTATCACGCCTCTACACAAACCGTTCTGTACACTTTGTACACAAGCTCAGATAAGTCGTTTATCCTTGTGTAGAGGATCCGTGTGTGTAGAGGATCCGTGTTTGGACTGAGCACCGCCCTCTCTTAAAAACAGGTTTAGAGGCATTTTGGGGTTAGGGTTATCGGTCGCAAAATGAAGAGGAACACTCACGGAAATCATGATAAAAAATTTGGGTTGAAAGAGTGTTTACAGTGGGATTAAAAGTACTTTTTTCTCTGAATTTATTTTCCTGAACTACAAGAAAACAAATGCATGTCCACAGTAGGTAGGTGGACCTGTATGCGCACATAGTGTGTCCTGTCCACGAGACTCTCAAAAGTTGTAAAAAGTGCGCCCTCTCTTGTTGGCACACGGAGCTCATAAATGTACTTACATGTAAGAGCTGCTCCAAAGAGACGAATGGGTAAGATGGCATCAGCACTGCAGTTGGAGGCAAATATGGCATCGAATAACGCAACAGGGAAAATCATAGCCTAGGACACAGCAAGAAAGTCAAAGGTCACGATGACATGCAATCAAATAATGAATTGATCTATTCCATATTCAATTGTTTATTTTCACAGAAGCAATTTACCATACAGAGAAGGATAGGTCAAACTGCAGTGCATTATGGGAACAATTTGGACTTGTTTGTTGGCACTGCTAGATACATGTACATGTACAGGTAGTAGACACAAAGCGGCAAGGACTTGGCGGAATCAACATGCTGCTGAATGTGCATGATTCAATTTGGAGTTGATTTTGTTTTGCTTGTGAAAACGTTTGAAGTTGTAACGCACATAAACAATGAAGAACAGAGAATTTCCTTCTACGACCTCTTTGAGGCAAATGCTCACTGATGCCCTGTGATTGTGAATTAGAATTAGACTGCTCTTATGCACAAGGAATACAATTTGGTGCTCGTTTGACGTTTGTTGACTGTTTCCCCACAAATACATCGCAATAATGGTCATGGTAGCCTCTTAGTGCTGCATTGTATTGTGAATTGCTCCTGTTCCAACAAAGTTCATTTTTGGAAGACAAAATAGTGTGCAGGGTTAAAGAAGTGTTTTTTGTGTTTAATGCAAAGAGAAGTCAGCTATTAAATGGAATTACTCAGCAGATAACAGATATATGGCACCATAGGTCATACCAATAATAACTATAACTTAGCGCTATATATGTCTGTTTAAGACCAGAACGTAGGGTTTTCAACATTTTCTAGTAGCAAAAAAAATAACAAAACGAAATTATTAAATATCAGTTGATGACGTCATCTTGACATCATTTCAAATTTTGCATTCCAGTTACTTAACATTATATCTACCTTCCCAACAACTTTCATGACGATCGGACATACCCTTATGTGTTTAAAAAAATAAATAAAAAAATACAAAATACAAAACGCATTTTTTATGACGTCATTATGACGTCACACATTTGTCACAGTTTTGTGCAAATATCTATGACCTAACAAACCTATTACCAAGAGAATTTTAAATTTAGCATGTTTTGCTTTTGAGATACCTTATGGCTTAAAGGTTCAAAGATTCAAAAATCCATATAAAATCACACGATGACTTCATGACGTCACCTCAATTGACCTATCGCCGTTTGCGAGTTAGCCACGCCCCTTACACAACCCTATGGAATTGTGTACGTTAAGTTTTGTTTGTCTCAGAGTTTGGGCATTCCGTGTCCATTTGTATATCATGTAATTGGACAATATTGCACAAGCTACGTTGATGTGATTCTACCACGATAGGTTAATTTGAACCTATAACATGTCCCTGTCTACATACGTTTCTGTACATACCAAGTTACAACCCAATCTGATTTGTAGTTCTCTAGATATAGGACTTTAAAATAGCCACCTTTAAGACAACGTCACATGACACATGATGACATCATCACCACGCCCCTTTTTAATGCACACATTTACAATGTGGTCTTAGGCTGCACCAAGTTTGGAATTGATCTGATAAAAGACAGTGTCAAATTTTGTAATTAGAATACAATCTAAAAATTCAAAAGTTCATAAAAAAAATCAGCTGATGGAGTCATTGTGACGTCACTTCAGATTTTGCATATTATTAACATTACCAAACCTCCCACCAAGTTTTGTTACGATCGGACCTACCCTGATGTGTTTTAAAAAATCGTTGATGTCATCATGACGTCACACATTTGTCACATTTTTGTGGAAATACAAAGTATCTATGACCCAACACAAATAGAATTTTGAATTACGCATGTTACATTCGTGAAATATGGCGATAATCTTCAAAACTTTAAAAATCCATAGAAAACCATATGATGACGTCATCATGACGTCACCTCCATTTTCATCTACAACACATCTCTGTCTATATGCACATATGAACTTTGAACGTAATTGGCCTTGTAAATATTCACCTTTAAGAAATATGCACCTTTAAGATGATGTCACATGACACGTGATGACGACATCGTGATATCACTTTTCTAGACACAACTTTGCTATGGGGTCTTTGCCTATGCTAACTTTGATTGATTTACATGTATGATGAAGATGAATGCCCGAATAGGCCGTCAGAAAAGACGTGTACAAAGTCTATGGGATTTGGGATGGAATGTACCCAAGAAGAAAAAGAAAACAATCTGAACAAAAACAAAGGCTTTTCCACAACTACGCAGGAAAGCCAATAACGTTTTGTGCCATGTAGTCCTATTGCATGACAGGTTCAAACTGATACAGCTTCACACCACTAATGTGTAACCATAATAAAAACCTACCCTCAGTGTTTTTTTCCTGTTTGGTACCAAAATCAAATGAGATCTATTTCCTAATGTTGTAACCAATTCATTATCTACATGGTACTTGGAACTGACAATTGTAGCTCTGCAAGTAACAGCTACTGCTATATTAAAGGGCCTACACTTTCCTCAAGCAATCTCCCTACATGTGGGCATGTTCCCTGAGGAATTACCCAACAGCTTAATCTGTGGTAGCTCACAAAACTCCACAGAACCATGCTCAATCTGCCCAATTCCCCTGACAAATCCTGCAATTCCTGATCAATCTATATCACAATTCCCCCCTGTGCCAATATTGGATTTCTGGATTCAGGTTACACTGAGTGAAGTGTGGCTTTGGATTGCAGATAAGCAATTTACAAATTGGTGTTTTGGGGGTTAAGTCATATAACAAAGTCTCAATCAGTGGCGTCGCCAAGGGGGGGCCAGGGGGGGCACGTGCCCCCCCTGGAAAACCTAGTGCCCCCCCGAGTGCCCCCCCATCTGAGATTTGGGTTGGTAAAAAAATATATATATATTTTGTTATATTCAACTCCCATCATCTGAGTTGGTTAAATAGCAATTTCTGGAGATATCTTCAGATCGAATTTAGCATCAAATGTGGCACCATTTTGCATCTAGCCCATCCTCCGTATGCGAAAATTTTCCAAAGGGGAGGGGGGCACCCCCTCCCCTTAGACCCCTCCTCCAGGACGGCGATCCGTATCCACCTAAGTGCCCCCCCATCAAATGCTGGTGCCCCCCCCTTGTGCCCCCCCAGACTGAAAAGTCTGGTGACGCCACTGGTCTCAATCCAACAGTCATACCATGTGTACAGTGTATAGGCCTGCAAGAATGAATCCAGTCAGGGTAGATGGGTTATGAATGTCTACTTTATCCTATTTGATGTATGTAATAGCGATTTAAATGTGTATCTTTACCAACAATGCTACAGCAGTGAAGACTAAAGCTGTTGCAACCTGCCATAATCGGAGTCCGTTTGGCAAGGTCATCAAGTAATGATCATCGCTGCCCAGGATCTGACTGATCTGAAACAACATGAAAACACATATTTAAACATCTATTCATAGTCAAGTCAATGTCGACAAAAATTAAGTAAGAATATGGGCTTCTGGATGCACAACATTCTGAATGGAAAATAATACACAAGCAAATGAAGCACTGAAAGTCTACCCAAAGCATGTGTCTGGTCCAACATTCAAAAACAATGATGCCATGAAAAAAAACTATTTTAAGCTAGAACGGTGAAGCCATCATGGCTTGCAGTCGACGGGAGGAGGGGAAGGATGAAGATAGGGTTGGGGATGGGGGTGATGGAATAGGATTAGGGGCGTGTGCCAGGGGGTAGGGCTTAGCATATTAAATGCCTACATAAAAGTCAGCAAATGTCCTTAGGCCAAAAAAAAATACTTCTGCTTCCAATTACATGCCTTTCAAAAATAGGGTCGGTAGGTCGGAAAAAAAATTGTTTGCCAAGTTTTTGGGGGGCTGATTGAATAGGGTATCTAATTATATGTGAATTTCAGCCTGCACTATTTCCATTACACTACGAAAGCTATACAAAAAAATTGCCACAAAAAGTGCTTAAAACTTAATTATTGTCAAAATATTTACAGTCGATAATTCTTACAAATAATGAAAAAAATTCAGGTCTTGCGCACCATATGCACAACGCTAGTCAAGACGGGAAACTGGCCAACTGTCCGTACATCGCGCAGTATAGGCGTGCGTGACACACTGTGTGTTGCGGGCGACAAACCTTGTTTTTACGGTAGGAAATTTCAGGGAAACACGCTGCATCGTGTAACTCCAAATACAAGTAGTACGACCTCGAAACACGAAACACGGCAAATACATACACAGACAAGAGAGATCAAGTTCTGTGAATTAACTTTCAAAAATGTTCTTTCTCTATCGGTGTTTTCTTGACATTTTAATGATGTCTAAGGCCAAAAAAAAGAATAGTTCAGCTTCCGGTTACCCGACCGACCCTATTTTTAGGCTGCGACCCTAAAAATTTTATCGGCAATTCCAAAACAAAACAAAACAAAAAAAAAATTGAATAAATACAAATAAAATCTGTCTTTTCTGTCTTCACAAAATACCTCTCAACAACGCTTTTGCATCCAAAAATGCTTGTATTTATTTGTTTTCTTACTTACAAATTCGCTTTTTTTCAAAAGAAACCTCCGTTATTACAAATTCGCTTCGCGATATAACTACTTCGCAATTCGATGTCACGCACGGTGACTATAATCACGTGGCGACGACTGGTTCCCGCCGCGCCGCGCAGGGGCCAGACATAATGAAAATGCGGTAACCAGTCCATAGCTAGCTATGTGACCGATAGCGCGCTATCAGTACAGTGCAGGCCACTGTCAACTGGTCGGATTCGACATCGTAAAAATGCCAAGAAAACACTGATGGAGAAAGAACATTTTTGCAAGTTAATTTACAGAATTGATCTAGCTTGTCTGTGTATGTATTTTCTGTGTTCAAGAGTTCATTTTGAGATCGCACTACTCGTATTTGGAGTGATACATGCCGCGTGTTTCCCGAAATTGTTGACGGTAAAAACAGGTCTGTCGGCCCATGGTGGGCCGCTCGCCACACACGCACGCATGCATCACACACCTCGGAGTTTTGGCCAGCTCCCCGCGTCTTGACTAGCGTTGTGCATATGGTGCGAACGGCCTGAATTTTCCATTTTTTTTTGAAATTATCGAACGTAAATATATTGACAATAATTAAAGGTAGGTTTTACTCACTTTTTGTTGCCATTTCGTGTATAGCTTTCATAGTGCAATAGAAATAGTTCAGGCTAAAACTTCGCATATAATTGAATACCCCATTCAAGCTGCATAAAAAAAATTGGCCAAAAAAAAAAAATTCCGACCGACCGACCGACCCTATTTTGGAAAGGCATGTAATCGGAAGCAGAACTAGTTTTTTTTTGGCCTAATCCGACCTGCAACTGCACCGCGGCCATGCATAGACTGGTTACCACATTTTCCATCATGCCTTCTTTGGCCCTTTTAGTGCGCTGCATGGCGCGGCGGGAACCAGTCATTGCTGCATTGAGCATTACGCACGTGTTTTCATATCGTCATCGCGACATCTAATTGCAAACTTGTTATCGCGAAGTGAACTTGTAAAAACAACGGAGGTTTCTTTTTAAAAAGTAGCGAATGTAAGTAGGCAAACAAATAAATACAAGCATTTTTTTGACGCAAAAGGGTTGTTGAGAGGTGTTTTGTGAAGACAGAAAAGACAACAGGATTTTTTAAAATGTATTTATTCATTTATTATTATATATTTTTTGACTTGCTGATAAATTGTTTAGGGTTGCGGCCTAATAATGTGGTAGGTCGGGTAACCGAAAGCAGAACTATTTTTTTTTTGGCCTTATGTACATATATGTACCAAATCAACCCCTCCCACCATTGATTACATGGTGGCTTCATTGTTCTAGTTTAAAATAGTTTTTATACAGAACATGCACATTGATACTGTGAATGGTAATGAAGCAAAATCAATGTTTAATGGACACAAGGGGGTTGGGGTAGGGCTCAGGATGGATAGTGAGTTGACTATGATGACATACAAAACCAACATCACAAGTGCTTCCCCACAGGTGCAATTTGTAAAGTACCGGTACATGTCATGCATAGTTGCATACATGTGCATGTAATGTACATACCACTATACATAAAACAATATTAACAGAAATTCAAGTATTTTTTTAAATCAAAACATTAAAACAATAAATAAAACAAATATAAAAAAATCCTCAATAAACATGATAAAATCATACAATTTACTGCCAGGCAATGAACCTAATTGGAGGTTGTAGAGCTGATCAACTTCTTTTTGTCCCTTCTTCTTTTCAACTAAATTAGCTAGAAACAAAAACTTGTAACATTGTAATTGGAATGTGGACGGCCGGATGGCCGGACGGACACCCTGATGCCCTGACAATGCCTCAACGGATGGACGGACGGATGACAATTGGTGTTACATAGGCTCGCATCTGCTTCGCAGCTCGCCAAATAATGAAAATTATTGATAATATTTATTACATGTCTGTTCAAATTTTCTTTCTATTTTTTAGTAGTTCTAATTTGTAACCTTGTGTGCCCAACATGTGAAAAATCCAAAAACCATAAATCACAGCTACAGTGAAGCTTGTGGAATGGCATGGTTACACAAAATCTACGCAACGATGCATCTCTACTCAGGCAGATAATGCTGTGACCCAGCCTATGTGTAGGTTACTGCACGCAATCTCATTACATCAATATGCACTGCTAGGCTACTGCACAGACCAACATGCACATGTACATGTAGCTACACAGGTTGCCTAATCAAGTGTGTGCATTCAACGCTACACACTGTGCAAGTGCCAATCTGTGGTGTGTTCAATGGGAGATTTGTAATCTAAGAAGTAATGACACTTGAAGAACAGTTTTGACAAATGTCAACAAAACTCGGATAATTTAAGAGGCATTTCAAAATTAATTTTTTTACTCTTGTGCCATGCACAGATTTAATTACTGTAATTAATGTTTCTATTGCATTTATTGTAAATATGGATTGTTTAATATTCTTTCATGATCAAGACTGACTGCAAGAGGCATTATTTAAAAATGTTTACAAAATGACTAATGTAACATTATTGGACTTGTGTAAAGTGTTTATCATTTAGTATGCCTATTACAATGTTTCAAATGGTTTAATTTATCTTTCATTAATCTGGTCATCTTATGCTAAAGGATGTACTGTCCATGCTATTTTTGAGTTTTACCCAAAGTTGTTTTTAAAACAAGAGTTATTCACTTTTGAAGAGACATTGACCCAGAAAATCGGCCCACATTTAGTTTTGGAATAATTACATGTACTTAACAAATTATGAATTTTTTAGAGGGTCACAAATGCCCCCAAAAGAAAAAAAAAACAGCTTTCCCCCCGCTTAAAATTGGAACACTAAAAGGTAAACATCTGTAAGGAGAGCTCAAAAATCTAATTCGTTGAAAAGCACGGACAATACATGTACATCTTTCAAGAACTGATTGATCCATTATACATACATGGGGCACTCCTGATGGACTTCTAGCAACATATACAAGTACTAGTCCCATAGACAAGAAGTGAGCGATGTAGTGTGTACATACCTTAGAGACTGGTACTGAGCCATCCTCACATTCTCCTACTCCCAGTAACTTCCTTGTTTTCAGTCGGCTCTGTAGATCCCCACTGCTTTGCTTTCTGTATCAAACATTGAATCAAAGACAAGCAAATACATGTTGGTACATTCCACATGCAGGGCTAGAAAAACTGACATGACTGAAAGCAAAAGTATGTAAAGAACAAAGCGAGGTGGTTAGTAATCCAAAATCTCAAATCCATCCACCTCTCATTCAGTGCACACAGAGTGTGCAAATCATAGTTTATTTTTTCTGTAAGTTCCCAAAGACGATTCATGTTTAATTCATTTGATTTATGCCAAAAGTTGCCCAAATTGGTTTTGTTTGCTTATTTAAAGATGCATGCACATGGTTTTCAATCATGCATGTGGCGGACCATAACCCTGTTAAATGCAAGGTTATGATAAACCTGCATTTTATTGCACAAACATAGCAGGGTTATGAAGAACGAAACAGGGTCTGAAATCATTTTTAAGTTGCCCAAGATATTTTTTTCTCATTTCATTTTACTTATGGCAAAAGTTGCCAGTTTTGTGTTGTTTTTTTAAAGAGGTTGTGGAATGCTCGAAGACATTTCCGTCATTTTTCGGGTATATGTAGCCTAAGGTGTGATGAAATAAAAACGACTATTGTTTCTGTCATGAAATGAGTACAAAAGGTACTTTTGAGAGCTGTTTTTCAGGTCCAGTTTCGACCCGAACGTGCAACTGTGTAAAAGTCGTCGTTGCGGGCAGCAAACAAAACACAGTAAATCGTGACGTAATAAACAGGACTCGTGTATGCTACTGTGCATCGGGAGTCCTGTTTATTACGTCACGATTTACTGTGTTTTGTTTGCTGCCCGCAACGACGACTTTTACACAGTTGCACGTTCGGGTCGAAACTGGACCTGAAAAACAGCTTTCAAAAGTACCTTTTGTACTCATTTCATGACAGAAACAATAGTCGTTTTTATTTCATCACACCTTAGGCTACATATACCCGAAAAATGACGGAAATGTCTTCGAGCATTCCACATCCTCTTTAAGTTATTTGTATTTTTAGGCTGCCAAAGATGAGTTAAATTGTGTTCATTTTATTTATCACGCTGGAAGCTGCCAAAGATGGGTTCTTTTATATTGATTTAAAAATCATGGAAATGAAATCAATTCAGAACAAGACAGTCATATTTTTAACAGTTTGTGTCATTATATTTGCCTTTTGTGCATTCAACATGTACTTTCTTTTCCCCCAGATATTTTTTTTTTGACCGACCGACCCTCATTCAAGGCCCAACAAATATGAGAACCATAGAATTAAACAAGGACGCCCTTATGAGGATTGTTGAGTTTGATATGAATCAAGACCAACTCTCCATAATTTACACACACACAGACACACCCAAACCCTTACTCTTCACATATCCGAATCAAACGCAACATTACCCTATGGTACATGTACGGACGTACAATGTACATTTGCTAAAGATCTCAAATTGTGTCTGACTGATGGAAAGGAAGGTAAAGAGGACACAAAGAATTCAAGTAAAATAAAGAAATGATTCCATGGGTTAAGCTTCACTGTAGTTTCTTCTTCTTACACCTTGCACAAGCAACTCCTCACCAACAGCACAAGTGAACGGCCTATCCAAGGTACACCTTGTTGCATAGTTACACACTTTTTAATATTTCATGCATACATGTAGGGTGTCAGTTGGAGGTGACAAATTATCTATCAACTCATAATACATCCTATCAACTGACCCATCCAAATTATGACACCAAGTCCAACCATGGTTGTGAAGGCTGCTAAGGGTTTCAAGGGAAAAAAATCCTTTCAACCTTAATGAAGTCATAGAAATGTGTGAATGCCAGTTACGATGGTCATCAAACGTCACCAGTGCCAACTGTGCAATATTTTTCTTAATTTGACTCAAGATTCATCATCACTTCTTGGGGGTGTTTCAGGGTCATTTGGGTTTGTACTAATTACTTTTTTCATATTTAGTTAAAACAGACAGTGCCAGCATAGACAGATGTAAATGTAACTACCTGATCACATGTAGGCTGCAACAAATTCTTTTCTTTTTTTTTGGCTGCTACACCAGATTCAAACCAGCCAACCGATCCCAGCAGGCTTGGTGGTCGAGTGCTAAGACGTCTGCACTAGAAGGCAGGAGGTCGTGGGTTCGAGTCCCACTCGGGTGATTTTTTTCTCAATTTCACTCGGGGAAGGGGGGGGGGTAACACACTGAGTATATACAGTGTTTATACATGTACGTTGGTAAAGGACAAAAACCTAATATTGAATTTACATCAGCCCAACGCAAATTCTATGTTATGAATAGTTGCTTTGATCAGCTCCATTTTTTTTAATATCTTCACTTGGTTTTCTACTGAAAATAATTTAAACTATCATTTTAGCCCTCAACTGGCATGAGTTGTAGATGAAACATTTGATGACACTTGAGGTCCATTTTGTTGCAGTCACTGCCCGGAATCTATGATCTTATCAGCATGGTATTAGATATAGCCTAGAGCTGTTATCATACGAGACATCCCATGGGTAGCCATGCTAATCTCACATCTCAACAAGGTGATAGTATCCAGACTGCTAATAACATCAAACAGTGCAATTCTAGATGGATGACACTCATGGAGTGCGGTGCTCTGTGTAATATTCATGTCCAAACCTTATGGAGTACACTGTGATGACCAGAATAAAAGTGTTTTTTGTGGACTTGTGCCAACTTACATTGCAGTTAATTTATAATGAATTTTCTTAATTGACATCGAATGTTTGAGCCAATAATGGTCATCAATCCATTATGACTGGTAAGATTTCAATTCTCTTCTTCACAAAAATTTTACCAAATCGCCTGATGAATATTTCAGCCATGTTTCCATTTTCAGGGAAATTTTCTTTGTAAATCATAGTTTAAAATGAGCTAGAGTTTAATTTGTCATGACATACTATAGAATCAGTATATCGTACAGTACATACCTCCATTCATAATCACCTGGACAAAATGTACTCATTCTGCAAGCTGCAAATTCCAATTGTTGTAAGAAATATGATGATTACTGCTCAAAACAGTCCTTGTTCAGCGATGAATAGAGACAGAGCTGGGATTGCCGGTCTTCAAAGAGAAGTCGTGGGTAATTTTGCAAAGAATATTTGTGTACGCACACGGCCTTGTATCTATCACAGTGAAAGTTTGGTTTCTAAACAAGGAAGTAAATGCCAGCCTATGCTGGAAGGAAGCAAATGCCAGAAATGCTGGAAGCAAGCTATGGGTAAAGCCACATGCTTCTATGCATATACATGTATATATGCACACACACAAGAGCAACACGCTTCAATTAATTTGAATAAAACAAACACTATGACCTATCATGCAAGTACTTCAAGGGCAAAAGTAACCATACATACATGTACAATATGATGGTTCAAATGCAGCAAATGACACCTACATGTGTACTACGTCAACTGAGCACGAAATGCATTCTTTTGAGTTGAAAGAAATCAGTTTCACACATGTATGGACAAAACTAAAAAGTGACATTTTGTGGTTGTGATGATCAATGTGTGCCATGCACTTACCATCATTGTACTGTAATATTTCAGGGGACTTTTCAAACTCATACTGAACTATTTATGATCAGACACGAAGACGGCTTGAGAGTATAAGTAGGCCCTAATGATTGAGTTCAAGGGTTAGACCGGAAGGTTGAAGAATTGTTTTTCACCAATTGTTTTAACAACTGGGCTTGCACAGTACATGCATGTGCATGTACACGGTACTCAAACTGTGCGTGTTGGGAACAAGTTCAAATGTATACTTGTTACATTTCAGTTTTTAATTCTTTATCATGTTTATGGTATCTCTATCAATAAATAAACTGTTATAAAAATGTACTGTGGCCACAGTATATGGATTGTACATAGGCAACGACCGTGAGAAAATGGTGGTCGCACAATTGTTTAAACACATGATGTTTCTTAATTTGTATCTATCTATTTAAATAATAGTGACTGTGTAGTTTAGGACACCTACATGTAACATATTTATATAATATTGGATGGCTTTGAGGCGGATACAAGAATATATTGCACGAGCTATGACAATATTGCAGGAGTCAAAGACGAGTGCAATATTGTCATAGCGAGAGCAATATAATCTTGTATGATCCCCAGAAAAAAAACATCCAATATTATTATTATTTATATAAGGCTGACTTGATTAGCAAGAAATACAATTCAAGACACTGTCTTTATTTCTCCTTTTCCCTTCAATTCTAAATCCGTTTACAAATTGTTCACAAACACCTAAATGAAACCTGAATTATAAAAAAGGGACCTACGTTCACCGTTTGAGTTAAACCTACATGTACATCATAGCACAAATAATTAATGATGTTTTCAAACCTATTTAAATTAAAAAACCTTTGAAGCACTTCAATACTTAATTACATTCGGGGCAGACATAGTTAGGTGTTGGGCTTTAGCCCAAAACCTATTGTTTTTCTACGAGTTTAATATTCTTGTTTTTTTTTTTTATATTTCTCCTAGACACATTCTTCTCCAGAACTGTTTGTCAAAATGAAAAGTGATATGAACTTCAATTGTCAATACATGAATGCCCAACCCACTGCAGATGTATTTTTTTTGCAATTACGTCATGACATCATTGTAGGTCACATGACGTCACTTCAAAATAAAATAAACTTAATCTTTGGGATTCAATATAAAATCAACCGTGAGAGACCGGAACTTGAATTTTGCAGGAATCGACATGATAATACATGCTCTTCCTTTTATCCTGTGCGCGTCAAATCACGTGACCCTTCCTTCCGGTCGAAACCGGAAGTGCCTAATAATTTGAAAGTGGAAAAAGATATGAATTTGCTTTCAACGATGTTGGTGTCTGCCTGGATTATAAAAAAATAAATAATGGGTGACGCCATGAAGAGTTGGAGCGCCCTCTAGCGGCAGGTTAAAAAACGTGAAAAATGTATTTTCACTTGATGTCTGTGGCGAAGTTTGTGGTATTCGCTTCAAAATTAATTTACATGATGACCTTAATGCAGACAAGACCTATGCGCGAAAAAAATTACGTCATCAGATCGGAAGTTACAATAAAAAGACCTTTAAACCTTCAAAAATTGCTAAAAAATCAACCGTGATAGATATAATCAAGATTTGGCTATATATAGCACAGTTAAGGCCAAAAAAAAAAGTCTCCAGTTTCTGGTATGGAGCTTGCCCAAAAAGTGGTGCGGCGACACTGCTTTTTTTTTTTTTTTACCTGAATTTTTTGCTTTAAATGTCGGCTGATGACTGCAAATGGTGCCCGACTAAACTTAGTGCAAATATATGGGAGTCCAGAGAGGCCACATAAAGCTTATTCTCGACCATAACCCAATCTAAAAACACGTTAAAATTGTGCAGCAACAGGATTCCAGTCAAACCAGTGAGTTTGGCGGTTTTGAGACATCATCTTTCATTGAAATTTTTTTTTTTTCATTTTGCCGACGCGCATGGCTACGGCGACGCGCGCACATACCAGAAACTTTTTTTTTGGCCTAAAATAGCTCTTGAACTTTCTAAAAGTATTGTAGATACCGCCGGATCTACAATACTTTTGGACAAAGCAAAAAGCTAAACATAACAAAGCCGAAATAACCATTTTATTTAACTTTTATCTTTTTTACCAGTTCGCATCAGATGACGTGTATACCCGCAAAGCGAGGCCAGAAATATGAGTGTGCTGCCCGAGGGTGATGGCTACAACCTGCCTTGCATGAGGTCGAGTGAAAAGTAATCCCGCGCCTCGTTCTGTTCTTGTCAAATAATCCTGGTGGGAACTGGTTAAATATAGTGTCATAGAAAACAGAAAAACATTGCACAAAGTTTTGTGTGCTTGGCAATCTTCTGTTTCAACTACAAAGTTGCATGCTGGAAGTCTGGAAAAGCCATTGAAAACTCCCGAGCTGGGACATATACGAGCATTGACCTCAAATATCCGCTTCATTTGGGGGATTTAATTTGTTTTCCTGTGTAAAGGATAAATTGAATAGTCATGCAACATTTAAAAATATTGGGGTGGGTTGGTGGGTCAAAACAATTTCGAAAAAAGATCCCCGAACTTTTAAACATTGACTATTCTAAATGGCCCCATTTAAAAGCTCATGAATAAGCAATGGAGCTAAAGAAACTGATCAAACACTTAATGTTAATTAACTAACTAAATAACTTAATTACAAATCTCTTACCCATTATTTTTGCAATCCCATTTCTTAGGATATACCAACTAATAAGAAACTTAAGCTTCTTTACTGACCTAAGATAACATGATGTTTCACATTAAAAAGTAATCAGGTTTGATACACAGCTTCTATTTTCACTATTTTCAGTATCTGTACAATGTGTACAGTATACATATATCCATGAAAATTTATACAAGTATAATTGTACAGTGCAAAATCCTGCACTGTACAATGTTGCAAGCTTGTCTCTATTAGTAAGCATGTACAAAGTACTTTCTGCCCACTATATTCCCATTTTGGAGTTGACTTGCATACCGTACCTGTATTGCTGCGGTTCATGAAGGGTATCCATGCTGAAATCTCTCTGTATTGAGTAGAAAATCACCGTTCTCCCAATCAAGTATCATGCCAATACGTGTACATGTACAGGAGTAGAACTGAACTGCAGTCTGAATGAGAGCAAATTCCACAGCCACACTTCATCTGCCATGCATACCAGGCTGTGGTATTATCATCCACATGTCATTTAATAAGTAATATATGTGACAGCAGATGGTATGCAACCTTGTAGATTTCTAGATCACAGCAAGGGCCAAGTATATACATACATCATCGCAGCATGGAATGCTGCGTCAAATACCAGATGTACATTGTACAACATACATAACATGTACATCAAATGGAATTAAAGCTTCACGCTTGTAATTTATTCAAATTACAAATTATAATTACGAATATTCTGAAGGTGAATGGCAAAATTGAAACTAATAATTTCCTTTTAAGTTAATTACAGTACATGCTATTGAATGGAGTAAAAATGAGACCGGTGGATTCCATGTTGTCATGATACCAGGCAAGGGGGGCATGCCAAGGGATGTGCATGCCCATGATTCCATGTCATTACTCATTACAGACTCTCTCTGGGTTCATACAATTACTGTTCTTTTCATTCCCTTCACCTTTTGCACTTGACTGCAATGCACAAACGATTCTAGAGGTACATGTACATGTATGCTGAGAAAAAAAAGGTATAAATGGTATCTTCACTTTTGTAACTTTCTCTCGTGTAGGACAGGCCTATGCTTAGTACATTGATAATTATGAAATTAAAAAAATTCTTGTTATGCACTTATCAATTGTAACCCCGGCCCCCAAGGACCCGGGGATAGCAGGACACTAGCCGGGATATGACCTGGGATGTAACAGCTAGCTCATGTGCCCCGGCCCTACGGGAACCTCGCCGGGACTTATGCTGGGCTGCTGGGCCGTGCATGCGCCTCAAAAGGGCCGGGAAACGGACGGGGATCTACCCCGGGAGTGTACCTGGGACGTACTCACAACTGTGCCGGGCTGTATGCCAGGCTGTACAGTGTCTTACAAGGGCCGGGGAACGGGCAGGGGAACTACCCCGGGAGTTCACCCGAGACGTACTCACAATTGTGCCAGGCCATTATGTGAGGTTAACACTGATCTGTGCAAGAACTGAACTACGGATCGGAAGCTTAAATTGCCGCGCGCGGGAATCGCCTTCCTTTATAGACTGTGCAAGTCTGGCACGTATTCAAACTTTTTGGGACCAGTTGGTCCCACGTACATTGTTACACCTGAAGGAAACCAAATCATGCGCTTTAAACGAGACTTGCACGGGCAGCATGCATCATCACCTCATACTATCTAAATACCTGTGTCGTTTGTGTTCTGTCCTGTCTTTATATCAAAGTAAAGGAAAACAAAGTTTACCCACAACCACATTCCAACACTGGATGCACAAGAAGAGAAACATCAATGTGCTGTGTGCCTTTATTATTGCCTTGATAAAAGGGAGCTATACACACACTATACAGTCAGTCTCAATCACGTTGATCAGGCGGTATGGACCACAATGGAGTACCAAAGTGAATACGTCACGCGCACAAACTGTGTGTAAAAGACATTAGCGCGTGATTCAGCCCGAGAACCAACACGCGCGCGTACTCAATTCGTTTTGCACTACACTTTCTGGTTCTAAATGACGTCACACTTCGGTACTCCATGGGGTCGGACTGTACATGTATCTCTATGGACTCAACACATACATGTAGGCGGTTGTGCAGACCAGGTATAG